GCAATCTTGCTTTGTAGTTTCGCCATGTGCGAACGTTGTGTCCTTGTATTGGCAAACTTCTTCCTTGGCTATAGAAACAAACAAACAGCTATGAATACAACATTACAACTAAAACTTAAAAAATAATTTCTTTAGCTTACGTGGGCACATCATTCTTGTGCAAGCCCATTTTCCTGTAATACATTTGCTGTAGTCATGTAAATAAAGATATTAGATTTTACTGCAAAGAGATGAGCTATAGTATCTGTAGTTACTAGCTATTCAGTATGTAAAGAAAGGCCAACTATCGTAGAATAATTTACCAGGTATTGCAATCTTGCTTTCTAGTTTCGCCATGTTCGTACAATGTATCTCTGTATGTGCAAACTTCTCTTTCTTCCTTTGCTGTAATGGGAAAATGAAGCTATTACGACGACATGGAAACAAAGTTTATTTATTAATCTCCTTAGCTTACGTGGGCACATCATTCTTGTGCAAGCCCATTTTCCTGTAATACATTTGCTGTAGTCATGTAAATAAAGATATTAGATTTTTACTGCAAAAGATGAGCTACGTATCTGCTATTTCTAGACGTTATTCAGTATGTAAAGAAAGGCCAACTATCGTAGAATAATTTACCAGGTATTGCAATCTTGCTTTCTAGTTTCATTATGTTCGTATATCGTATCTTCGTATTCGCAGACTCCTTCCCTGGCTGTAGTAGAAGGAAATGACTATTAGAGCGATATTATAACTAAAATTTGAGTATCAGCTTTCTTAACTTACGTGGACATAGCATCCTTGTGCAAGCCCATCTTCCCTTGATACATTTGCTGTAGTCATATTAATTAAGATATTAGATTTTTACTATTAAGAGATGAGGTGTAGTATTTTGTTACATCTGATTATTACTTAGCAAGTAAAGAGATCTACCAGTAATACATATTAACAAACGGTTACTTTCATACGATAATTTACCAGGTGTTACAATCTTGCTTTGTAGTTTCGCCATGTGCGAACGTTGTGTCCTTGTATTGGCAAACTTCTTCCTTGGCTATAGAAACAAACAAACAGCTATGAATACAACATTACATCTAAAACTTAAAAATTAATTTCTTTAGCTTACGTGGGCACATCATTCTTGTGCAAGCCCATTTTCCTGTAATACATTTGCTGTAGTCATATAAATAAAGATATTAGATTTTTACTGCAAAGAGATGAGCTATGTATCTGCTATTTCTAGACGTTATTCAGTATGTAAAGAAAGGCCAACTATCGTAGGATAATTTACCAGGTATTGCAATCTTGCTTTCTAGTTTCATTATGTTCGTATATCGTATCTTCGTATTCGCAGACTCCTTCCCTGGCTGTAGTAGAAGGAAATGACTATTAGAGCGATATTATAACTAAATTTAAGCATCAACTTTCTTAACTTACGTGGACATAGCATCCTTGTGCAAGCCCATCTTCCCTTGATACATTTGCTGTAGTCATATTAATTAAGATATTAGATTTTTACTATTAAGAGATGAGGTGTAGTATTTTGTTACATCTGATTATTACTTAGCAAGTAAAGAGATCTACCAGTAATACATATTAACAAACGGTTACTTTCATACGATAATTTACCAGGTATTACAATCTTGCTTTGTAGTTTCGCCATGTGCGAACGTTGTGTCCTTGTATTGGCAAACTTCTTCCTTGGCTATAGAAACAAACAAACAGCTATGAATACAACATTACATCTAAAACTTAAAAATTAATTTCTTTAGCTTACGTGGGCACATCATTCTTGTGCAAGCCCATTTTCCTGTAATACATTTGCTGTAGTCATGTAAATAAAGACATTAGAATTTTACTGCAAAGAGATGAGCTATAGTATCTGTAGTTACTAGCTATTCAGTATGTAAAGAAAGGCCAACTATCGTAGAATAATTTACCAGGTATTGCAATCTTGCTTTCTAGTTTCGCCATGTTCGTACAATGTATCTCTGTATGTGCAAACTTCTCTTTCTTCCTTTGCTGTAATGGGAAAATGAGGCTATTACGACGACATGGAAACAAAGTTTATTTATTAATCTCCTTAGCTTACGTGGGCACATCATTCTTGTGCAAGCCCATTTTCCTGTAATACATTTGCTGTAGTCATGTAAATAAAGATATTAGATTTTTACTGCAAAGAGATGAGCTATGTATCTGCTATTTCTAGACGTTATTCAGTATGTAAAGAAAGGCCAACTATCGTAGGATAATTTACCAGGTATTGCAATCTTGCTTTCTAGTTTCATTATGTTCGTATATCGTATCTTCGTATTCGCAGACTCCTTCCCTGGCTGTAGCAGAAGGAAATGACTATTAGAGCGATATTATAACTAAATTTAAGCATCAACTTTCTTAACTTACGTGGACATAGCATCCTTGTGCAAGCCCATCTTCCCTTGATACATTTGCTGTATCATATTAATTAAGATATTAGATTTTTAATATTAAGAGATGAGGTGTAGTATTTTGTTACATCTGATTATTACTTAGTAAGTAAAGAGATCTACCAGTAATACATATTAACAAACGGTTACTTTCATACGATAATTTACCAGGTGTTACAATCTTGCTTTGTAGTTTCGCCATGTGCGAACGTTGTGTCCTTGTATTGGCAAACTTCTTCCTTGGCTATAGAAACAAACAAACAGCTATGAATACAACATTACAACTAAAACTTAAAAATTAATTTCTTTAGCTTACGTGGGCACATCATTCTTGTGCAAGCCCATTTTCCTGTAATACATTTGCTGTAGTCATGTAAATAAAGATATTAGAATTTTACTTCAAAGAGATGAGCTATAGTATCTGTAGTTACTAGCTATTCAGTATGTAAAGAAAGGCCAACTATCGTAGAATAATTTACCAGGTATTGCAATCTTGCTTTCTAGTTTCGCCATGTTCGTACAATGTATCTCTGTATGTGCAAACTTCCCTTTCTTCCTTTGCTGTAATGGGAAAATGAGGCTATTACGACGACATGGAAACAAAAGTTTATTTATTAATCTCCTTAGCTTACGTGGGCACATCATTCTTGTGCAAGCCCATTTTCCTGTAATACATTTGCTGTAGTCACGTAAATAAAGATATTAGATTTTTACTGCAAAGAGATGAGCTATGTATCTGCTATTTCTAGACGTTATTCAGTATGTAAAGAAAGGCCAACTATTGTAAGATAATTTACCAGGTATTGCAATCTTGCTTTCTAGTTTCATTATGTTCGTATATCGTATCTTCGTATTCGCAGACTCCTTCCCTGGCTGTAGTAGAAGGAAATGACTATTAGAGCGATATTAGAACTAAATTTAAGCATCAACTTTCTTAACTTACGTGGACATAGCATCCTTGTGCAAGCCCATCTTCCCTTGATACATTTGCTGTAGTCATATTAATTAAGATATTAGATTTTTACTATTAAGAGATGAGGTGTAGTATTTTGTTACATCTGATTATTACTTAGCAAGTAAAGAGATCTACCAGTAATACATATTAACAAACGGTTACTTTCATACGATAATTTACCAGGTATTACAATCTTGCTTTGTAGTTTCGCCATGTGCGAACGTTGTGTCCTTGTATTGGCAAACTTCTTCCTTGGCTATAGAAACAAACAAACAGCTATGAATACAACATTACATCTAAAACTTAAAAATTAATTTCTTTAGCTTACGTGGGCACATCATTCTTGTGCAAGCCCATTTTCCTGTAATACATTTGCTGTAGTCATGTAAATAAAGACATTAGAATTTTACTGCAAAGAGATGAGCTATAGTATCTGTAGTTACTAGCTATTCAGTATGTAAAGAAAGGCCAACTATCGTAGAATAATTTACCAGGTATTGCAATCTTGCTTTCTAGTTTCGCCATGTTCGTACAATGTATCTCTGAATGTGCAAACTTCTCTTTCTTCCTTTGCTGTAATGGGAAAATGAAGCTATTACGACGACATGGAAACAAAGTTTATTTATTAATCTCCTTAGCTTACGTGGGCACATCATTCTTGTGCAAGCCCATTTTCCTGTAATACATTTGCTGTAGTCATGTAAATAAAGATATTAGATTTTTACTTCAAAGAGATGAGCTATGTATCTGCTATTTCTAGACGTTATTCAGTATGTAAAGAAAGGCCAACTATCGTAGAATAATTTACCAGGTATTGCAATCTTGCTTTCTAGTTTCATTATGTTCGTATATCGTATCTTCGTATTCGCAGACTCCTTCCCTGGCTGTAGTAGAAGGAAATGACTATTAGAGAGATATTATAACTAAAATTTGAGTATCAGCTTTCTTAACTTACGTGGACATAGCATCCTTGTGCAAGCCCATCTTCCCTTGATACATTTGCTGTAGTCATATTAATTAAGATATTAGATTTTTACTATTAAGAGATGAGGTGTAGTATTTTGTTACATCTGATTATTACTTAGTAAGTAAAGAGATCTACCAGTAATATATATTAATTAACAAACGGTTACTTTCATACGATAATTTACCAGGTATTGCAATCTTGCTTTGTAGTTTCGCCATGTGCGAACGTTGTGTCCTTGTATTGGCAAACTTCTTCCTTGGCTATAGAAACAAACAAACAGCTATGAATACAACATTACAACTAAAGCTTAAAAATTAATTTCTTTAGCTTACGTGGGCACATCATTCTTGTGCAAGCCCATTTTCCTGTAATACATTTGCTGTAGTCATGTAAATAAAGACATTAGAATTTTACTGCAAAGAGATGAGCTATAGTATCTGTAGTTACTAGCTATTCAGTATGTAAAGAAAGGCCAACTATCGTAGAATAATTTACCAGGTATTGCAATCTTGCTTTCTAGTTTCGCCATGTTCGTACAATGTATCTCTGAATGTGCAAACTTCTCTTTCTTCCTTTGCTGTAATGGGAAAATGAGGCTATTACGACGACATGGAAACAAAGTTTATTTATTAATCTCCTTAGCTTACGTGGGCACATCATTCTTGTGCAAGCCCATTTTCCTGTAATACATTTGCTGTAGTCATGTAAATAAAGATATTAGATTTTTACTTCAAAAATGAGCTATGTATCTGCTATTTCTAGACGTTATTCAGTATGTAAAGAAAGGCCAACTATCGTAGGATAATTTACCAGGTATTGCAATCTTGCTTTCTAGTTTCATTATGTTCGTATATCGTATCTTCGTATTCGCAGACTCCTTCCCTGGCTGTAGTAGAAGGAAATGACTATTAGAGCGATATTATAACTAAAATTTAAGCATCAGCTTTCTTAACTTACGTGGACATAGCATCCTTGTGCAAGCCCATCTTCCCTTGATACATTTGCTGTAATCATATTAATTAAGATATTAGATTTTTAATATTAAGAGATGAGCCTTAGTATCTGCTATTTCTGATAATTATCTAGCATCTAAAAAATCTAGCGTTGATACATGTAAAAAAGGGCAAATGTTATAGGATAATTTACCAGGTGTTGCAATCTTGCTTTGTAATTTCACCTTGTTGGAACATTTCATCTTTGTATTGGCAAACTTCTTCCTTGGCTATATTAGAAAGAAAACGTCCTTCAGGGCGATTTTATAACTAAAATTTAAGTATTAATCTCATTAACTTACGTGGACACATCATCCTTGTGCAACCCCATCTTCCATCAATACATTTGCTATAGAGATATAAAATAAAAGATCAGTATTTACAGTTATTAAAACTGGACTACAATATCAGTTGTATCTCTTTAGTCTCTTGCGAGACAGAAGCCAAGTCATTATGCATGCGTAGAGCAGAGATCAAAGTACTATACTGAAATTACTTAATAGCATGCTAGTGTTTAATAGGGTTGCTTTCCTTACCAAGTGTTACAATCTTGTTTTCGGGTAGCACCATGTTGGAAAGTTTCGTTTTCATGGAAGCATGATTTTCGCTCTATAAGTAGTTTAAAGAACTTAGTCAGTACCACAAACTAGCACTAATTATCCTTTTCAACTCCAACTTACTTGGTGGACACATCATTCTAGTACAAGCCCATTTTCCGTTAGTGCACATGCTAAATACACGTAAATGATGCAGCATTAATACAAGGTAGATAGATCAAATGTACAATACGGAATAAATTTTTACCAAGTGTTGCAGTCTTGCTTTCGGGTTTCTCTATGAGAATAATATTCATTATTATGGACACAAATTTCGGATCCTGAGGTAAAATGAAAGCGAAATTAGTATCCTAACAGCTGTAATCCAAAATCTGAATACTGATCCCATTTCGATTACTTACCTGGTGGGCACATTTTCATAGTGCATGCCCAGCTACCGTTGTTGCATATACTACATACAAATTACACATCGTTAGCTAACCTATCCTTTTGTAAGGAACATATTCATTTCAATGATAGTTACAAATAGATGAAAGTTTCAACGTAGCTCTATATCATGGAATAATATCCACCTAATTCAATCTAAAATGATTCAATAAGCTATAATATTTTTTTTACCAGGTATTACAATCTAAGCTTCTGTTTTCGCCATGGTTGAATTTGAGGCCACTATGTCGGCATACTCTAGCAGCTGATCAACATTAAATGATCACTTTATTAATTAAATAGAAAATGCAATTGCACACTATAGCTTCAGTAGCATCTTTTAAATCTTCTGAATAGGAGAACTTACTGGTGTTTTCGTGGTGGCGGCAAGGTCTGTGTCTACATCCCCAGAAACCTCCTTCCATGCATCGGCTATAGATTAATTTAATCATATCATAACAAGATAAATACCAAGAAAAAGGACTTATCTATGATTGTCGGTAATCAATTAAATGATATTTTAGAAACATACCAATGTCTGCATCGGTGTCGCATTCTGTGGCCAACTTCAAAAGTTCTGTCCATCATTCTACATTTTCTTTCTGTTATTCATAAGCAATGGAAGTTAGGCATCGCAGTTTTTCATATTCGCTTGGTATCATTGCTATATAGCTTGGATTAACTGTTTACCTGGTTTGTTTTCACAAGTATTTTGTGTGCAGTTCCAACTTCCATTTGAAAGGCATTGGCTAATAATTTCGCAGTATAGTAGTGTGAATCAGAGTTAAAGCAGAGTAAATATCTACTACTGATGGCTTTAAATCTTTGATTATTTTACCATTCATTGCAGTCTTGTTTGGATCGTTCGCCTTCATAGAAAAGACGTTTTCCGTGTTTGCAGGTTGTCTCAGCTACATTAAAAGGAAAGAAAGGTGTTATACCAGTATTTTATGTCAAAGTCAGTATCAATTTTAGTTACAATAACTGTAATAACTTACAAAGTGTTTCGTTTTCAGTGCAGTCTTTCGCTGTGCATGCCATATTACCAGTAGGTAAGCATGTGCTATAAGAAAATAATGGATGAGTTTTAGTATTCTCGTATGGACCTTCAACGTTATATTTTTAATCCGATAATAATTAATCAATGAGTAACATATTCATTTTACACACTGTCGTAGGTCTAAATACTTACCATAAGTTGCAGTTCTTGCGGATAGTTTCACCATGGAAAAGGAACATTCCACGCATTTCGCATATGAATTTAACATCTAGATATCAATGAATGGCAATTAGTATTTCTTTCCGTTAAAATGTGTTAGGGTTGCATAGTAAGAGACAAGAAAATACTTACGAGGATTAGAGCAAGGTTTGGTAGTACAGTTCCATTCGCCATTTGTATAGCACTTACTATATAAGTAAAAGTATCGAAAAAGGTTTCATCAGCTTAGCCAACAGGTAAAAGTAACAAGCAAAATTCGACACTATGACAAATCTTAATCCTACTTACCACATATTGCATCCTTGCTTCTTAATGGTACCAGCAGCAAAAGTCCTACCACGGAAGGTACAAGTCGGGGTAGTTTCTAGATGAAAAGTCAAATTGGGTAATTATGAGGCCAATTCCTCAATTTGGGATTTTAATGTAGGATTGAACCGAACTCTTGATCGATTAAATTAAATGTATTTTCCCACTATAGCTGCTAATTTCTTATATTTCTGAACAAAACCTAACATTTGTTTCAATATCTCAATAGTTAACCTCAATCAAGCTACAAACGTTATCTAATTCATTATGGGAAATAACCTAGCTAACATAAACTTGCTCAGATATGTTACAATGTTTGCTGCTAAACATGTACTGTGTTGTATCCGAATAGCTAGTTATTGACAATTCTTGGTCACAACTCTTACTGAAACAGTAATAAGATTAGGTCTATATATATAATACCTGCTTAACCTGATATTATAGCTTTCAACTATCAAAATACCCCACTAGACTCTTCATTCAAGAATATTGATTTCTTGTATTCCTCAAACAAGGTCTAATGTTTTCTACAGTATCTTAATAGTTTACCTTAATCAAGCTATATACTTGCATCTCATTCATTACGAAAATAATCTGGATTATATAAATTTGTTAAGATATGTTGCAATATCTGCTGCTACAGAAGTGTAGGACTTTATTCGAATAACTAGTTCTTGATAGTTCTTGATCGTAACTCCTACTACAACAGTAACTAAGATTAAGTCGATGGACTACTGTACTGAACCCAGTGATAAAGCTTTTAGCTACGGAAGTATACCAGTAAACTATTCATACACAACCAATTAAGCTTGCATAATTACCATTGCGAGGTGGACACATCATTCGAGTGCATCCCCAAGCTCCATCCTTCAGGCACATACTATTAGAGAATAAATTATGAAAATGATTAATCTATTTCTACAAAGAAATAGTACTTAGAGCTATTCATTTATTCATGCCAAGTTCTATCCACCTACCATCGGTTGCAGTCATCCATACGTATTTCACTAGGACGATAGATTTCATTGTTGTGTGTGCATAATTTGGTAGCCACTGTACCATAAAAATATGAATTTTATAATCATTAATGACTACATAGTTGTGAGTCTTAAAATAGATTGCAAAATAATTGGACTAGCTACTGCTTCTAAACTGCATCTCATCATAACTGATGTAAATGCACTGTCAACTTGTGTTCCAAACTTGAATGAAGCACTAAAAGATATCAACTTTTTCCTAGTAGTGATGATCAACTACTCAATTAAAATTTTGCATTACTTGGTTGTTTTGGACATTTAAAGGCGGTGCAAGCCCACAAGCCATATTTGTTACATTTGCTATTTTAAAGCCAATTCAAGACATTCATCAAGTAACAAATTGTTGCAAATATTAAATGTATACTGTGTTATTAAAACGCTAGTATTACATTAATTGGATTTCATCTTACCACTTGTTGCAACTATCCTTTTTGGCAATAAAGCCAGTAGGGTAAGTTGTTCCCATATGATAGCAAACTGGAGATTCTTCTATTTTATATAGAATAAAAAAAAGGATTCACAGTTAATTCAAGACTAGCTAGGAAAAAATGCTTTGGATAGAACTTACCACGTGCACATGGTAACTCCATACACTCAACAGTTTCATTACCCCGGCATGAACTATTAAACAACAAACAGTTAAGATTTGATACTAAATTTTACTATAATAATTCAACTCTCCAACAGCCTAACTAACCAATAACTGCAATTAAACTTTCTAACTTCACCCAAGTACAATGTCGTATTCTGGTAGGTGCATTGAGGTAGTGATTCTAGCATTAAAACCATAGTCATTGGAGAATCATTAGTAAAACCGATCAATTCTACTAGACGGCAAAGTGATATGATTGAATAAGAATGGAAATAAAATATTTTCTGATACCTTTCTCATAGTTTGGATTGCACATCATTCGTGTGCAAGCCCACTGGCCGGTATAGCCGCATTTGCTGAAAAATAGCAAATTGTCGATATTAGCAATGGCATGAACTTAACTTTAGCTTTTATATAGGAAAAGACGAATGATAGCGTAGACGATTAACGATTTAGATAGACCTACCAGAGATTGCAGCTATTACGGATCTGTTCTCCCTTCTGGAAATATTGATTGTTAAATTTGCAAACGCGTGTAACGTCTAGAGATAAATTAGAAAATGATCGGCTCGGTATAACAAGGTAGAATGTTATAGAAATATGCTCTGTATTTAAGGTAAAGATAACCAAAATTTAATTACATGCTTTTATTTTATTTTGAAAAATTAAGTTTTACTTACTGTATTTCTCTTCGACACAGACTTTCTCGGTGCACATCCATTTTCCGGTAGATGAGCAAGTACTAATAACGAGTGATATCGGAGTTATTTGTTGAAATATCAAGCATGACCGATTTGATGCAATCATTACGATCAAACTGAAAATTCATTAGCTTGAATCAAATTGATTTTTCTTACCATTTATTACAGTCAAGGAATTTAGTTTCTCCAACTCGACTGACTTCATTACCCATTTGGCAAGTGGTATCTGAAATAGAGATAGAGAAATTGGTTAGTTAAAACATTGCAAGAATATGAACTACTATTGAAAAGAAAGTCATGCTTACTTGGTCTATTAGGTGGGCACATCATTCTGGTGCAACCCCAACCACCATTGGTTAAACATTTACTACAAACGTAAAGTTCTCCATTTTAGAGCAGAATCATACAATAGTATCACAGATAAAGCAAAATGATATACCATGTATTGCAGTCCTGCATCCGGATTTCATAGGTATTATAAGTTCGGTTTTCGTGCATACATAAAGTTTGGTTGACTAAAAAATTGATGCCAAGATTAAATCGATTCGCTCAGCGAGCTTATTATTTCATTTAGATATTTAAATATACAAACATGTAGTTGGGCATCGCTTAGCGGTACATAGCCATTGTCCAGTCTTGCCGCACATACTGTAAGGGAGTAAAATAGTTAAAAAAATTGAATTGGAATGTTAAATTCCTATTTTAAAGTTGTAAAAATACAAAATCTAAACTGCCGATATTGATATGATATAATCAATTTATCGATACCTCTCATACCGCAAGATATGCAGTTGCAAAACTTATTAATCCTTATACATAAAGATATTTCAAAATTGGCACGTGTGCTAACATATTAAGGCCTATTACTCACCAGGTATTGCAGCTCTGCTTTTTAATATGTCCAATGTTAAATCGACGACCACGGTGGACGCAGCCTTCTATAAGGACAACGAAAAATAAAATTTTTACGATACATCTATTTATTAGGCCTATTTCTGTAACCAATTTCCCTAAATAAATACTAAGAAACCCTTATTTACACTACCTTGGCTATAAGGATATCCGCAGCTATAGTTTGAGCAAGCCCAGGTTTCATTTCGGGTACAGTTGCTATAAAAATATCCAAGATACAAGATTATTAGTCCTAAATACTTATTACATTTTGAAATTGCTTGCTCCATGTAAATAATTTATTAACACACCAGAAATTGCATTGGTCTTTACGGATTTCACCATGGAAGAAAGTTCTTGTTTTATGTTGGCACTGAGGTACAGTTGCTGTGAATATAAAGAAAGAAATTAATCAAGACTGAGATATATTACTAAGAGAGCAGGAGTAATGACCTAAGGATAGTAAAGCGCTAAATAATAATTAATTTAGATCAAAATGTTAACCATTACTTAAATTAAATTCAGGTGGACACATTTTAGTGGTACACATCCAGCGTCCAGAGTTTGAACAGCGGCTAAATTTGATAATGGAAAAACGTTAAATATCAATTTGTGCTATTATCTAAGATTTCTCTTTGGTAACAAGTAATAGCTCAATGGCATAAATATTAATACCATAGATTGCATTTTTCCCTTCTTAGTTCACCGCGAACGAAAAATCGCCCGTCTTTTTCACAAACGTTGTCGAGCATGTTAGCTGTAATAACATATAAGCCATATTTAAATTGATAGTCGAGTTTGAACTGATAGAAATCAAAGTATCAATTTAAGAACACTATGTAGCAGATGATTTTAGATCTCTTAATAAGGTTTATTCAGTATTAATTAATCTACATGACCGCCCATTACTTTGGTTAGTTGGCTGGCAAGCCATTCTAGTGCATGCCCATATGCCCTTTAGGCATCGACTAAATGAAAGTAATAAAATAAAGTAAAAAGTGAGCTTATTCTTTGCCATTAAACATGATCACAAACAGTATAAGTAATAAGCTATACCAGGTGTTGCAGTCTTGCTTCCTCATTTGATATTGTCTGTATTCACGACCACGGTACGTGCAGGTATATTCTATGAGTATCAATATAAAATTAAATTTCATCATGAGACAGATAAGAAGTAAAATAAAAATGATTAATAATCCCGATCTATTTCGCCAAATTGCAGTTAAAGCATTGATATAAACTTGCCTCTGTTGGGTAAACACATTCTGCGTGTACACATCCACTTAGCGTTTGGTCCACATTTGCTGTAATACAACATTATGCAATTAGTTAATCAATTATAAAATAGCATATATGCGACCTTTAAATTGCCGAAGAATCCAGATTTAGAATCTTAGTTATAAAATGAATAAGTTTCAATTCATACCAGTAGTTGCAGTCGATCTTGGTAACCGCGCTAATGTTATATTCTCGGTCGTTTAAGATACATTTCCTAGTCTTGGGTGGTGTATCTTTAATACAATTGCAACGAAGTGTTAGGTCTGCCTATCAAAGTAGGCTACTTAAACTAAATGCATCAATGCTTCGCAATTTCTTCCTGAATATCAGTATAACTAATGAAAATGACTACAACTGAAATCACATAAATGTAGCAAATGATGCATGTCTAACTTGAACTTGTACTTGGAGGTTAGAAATTAAGGAAAAGCTATAATTATATCTCCAATTATTGCAAATATTGTAATGTTAGTACTACTTAAATGTGTAGGTAATCTAAGTAAACATCTTCATAATCTCTTTGATCAGCATAATGGCTATCACTGTTCTGGTAATAATGATTGATAATGCCTCTTTGGTATGAATATCAAGGTAACGGAAGCTTATACTAATACATAGTAAAAAATAGGAAATTTATCCAATTTAGATAGTACTGACATTCCACTGGAAAGAATACGAAAAGAAAGCTAAACTTTCATAATATAATAATTACCTGGACGATCATTGCAATCATTTCTGGTACACATGAATTTGCCAGTTGGTGTGCATCGGCTAGTAATCAAAAATAAAGCGGATGAACCAATCAATAAGGATAGAATGAATCCTATCAAATACTAATGATCTTTTTTATAGATTATGTATACCAAACATTGCAACCACGAGCTACGTAGTCACCAGTTCTGAATCTACGTCCGCCATAATTGCAAGTAACTAAAAATGGAGAAGCAAGTTTACGATTGGTCTGTTCAAATTATGTACAAGTAAAACATGAGCTAGTTACATTCTCTAGGTGGGCAGGCTTTACGTGTACAACCCCATCGATTGTTTCCGAAACATCGACTATTATCCAAAGTAAAAAATAATCAAATTAGCACGACTATTTATGTAATAGCATAACTAGCTAAGAATTTCACTGACCAGATGTTACAATCGTCAGCTCTTGTTTCTTCTTTTCTGAACATTTTACCTTCAAAAATGCAGACATCTCGTCGTCCTATGCATTGATTGAGCAATCCAAAGATTAGTTATAAAATAATAATATAACTACTGAATTATCTATAAGTATGCCTAAAATACTCTTGATTAAGTTGGCATGAAAACTGAAGAATAATTAGGATGATTGAATGTATTTTTGTAACTGTTATCAACATACCTTCAGGTGGTGGGCAGAACATTCTGGTACAAGCCCATCTGTTGCTACCAAGGCACTTACTATTTGAAAAATAATTCCAAAAAGTTTCACTTTAGCCATTTGCTGTAAAAATGCAACACCACTGCTATTACTAGACTTGATGATAACTGTTGTAAACTAAGTTAAAGGTGAAAAATTAACCAGGTGTTGCAATCTTTGCGTTTGGTTTCATTTTGCTTGAGCAACATGGTATTATGGACACACAATTTGGTAGTATCTGTAATGATTGCAAGACATGAACAGTTAGACAATATTAACATCTCAGTAGAACGCGATGAGCTTATTTAGGTTACTAGCAGCCACTCCATGAAGAATTTATGCTAGCAAAGGAAGTTAGTAGCACTATACTGACCTGGGTGATTTGGTGTATCAGGGCAGGCTATCCTGGTGCAAGCCCATTTGTTTTGGCCTAAACACTTGCTAAAGAGCAAGAAGAAATAAATAAAGACGAGCTATAGCGATAATTGATCCTCTCAAATTGCAGATATACTGCTAAATATTTCAATAGCGAACAATAAAAGCATATAGAAGTACTGATAATGAAGGAGCAGCAACACCTACCATTGATTGCACTTTTGCTTAACTGTTTCGCCTAAGCGGAATAGTTTCTCTTCGAAGATACACGTATCAGTTCCATTTGGCCTAGTTGGTTTAGTACCTGAAGAAAACAATCATATCATTACTAAACTAGAACTTGTAAGATATTTTCTAGAAAGAAATTCCACAGTTAGCTTGCATCATCGTTGGCCTCCTTTGTTATGAAGCACTAACCCCTATAACCAAATCTATTTACATCCATTATCGTCTAACGAATATGAAAGTAAAACTTAAATACCATTGTTGCATTGATCCCTGCGGACGAGCAGTTCTTCATTTGGATTGCATCCGTTAGAATTTTCGCAACATCTAGTTGAACAAAAATCAATCTTAATAATGCGAGATTTGAATACTCTGATGAGATTAGAATCATCTGTCCAATTCATTGTATGGCTTTGGTAATTTAGCCTTGTTCTCAGTTAGTTTACTCACTGGCTGCAGTTATCCCTCTTACAGAAAGTAGTGACCATCATGGGGCAGATTCGGTTATCTTGAGGATTAAAGGGACATCTTGGCAAGTTATTAGTTCCAGTAGGTTGGCAAGCCATCCTAGTGCAGCCCCAGCCACCATTCTTCAAGCACATGCTATAGAATGAGTCAAAATTTTAACATTAGATCTTGGCCAATTTAGCTGGATCATGCTATCAACTTATACTAACCAGGTATTGCAACCATCTTCAGCCTTTCGGTTTTCTCCAACTTGATAATTTATGTTGTTAAATTTGCAAGCTAGAAAAAATACCAATATCATCCATATAAGATTTTATTATAATTATCTTTAAATAGCGATCGAGAATCATTTAAAACCCAGCTCTATAACTTACTGGAACATGCTCCTTGTTCAAAACGGATAGGGCGGCCACTTTGACATTCAAGTCTTCTCAATTCGCATAAATTAGAGATGGTAGTGCCGGTCTCCGTATTGCAAATAGGTTGATAGATTTCAGGACATGCTTCATTACATCGACAGACGGCTTGGCTATTGAGGACTTGGCAAGTCTGCCTGAAACCGCATCGAGCGCGCATACATTCGGCTATTACCGGTAGAGAGGACAGCATTAAAATCTTTATTAGTAGCTTGGAAATCGATGATACTGAATATTACTAACTCTAGAGCAAAGATGTGCAAAGTACCAGTGAAAAGCTGTTTGTACTGTAAGCTACGTTTTGTCATAGTAGGAATTGGTATGATCATTTCCATTTTTTACTCCCCTTTTCGTCAAGGAATAATTTCGGAAATTATAGTAGACTACTTATATTATTTCATATGTCAATAAGGGATATTTTCTTTGCTTCAGTAGAATCAACAGTAGACAGAACTTTTGCATAGGTATGCTCATATGTTAGTTCAGGATTTTACAGAGCGAAATTGAAATTCTCAACTTTTAATTTGCAAGGATTCCGATTTGACTTTTGAGAGTAGAAATTCCTAGTTTCTTAGTATTAAAATGTACCTAATATGCTCGTATGCTTAAATTTGAGAATTCTTCAGAGCAGAACCTCGACTCTTCAAAACTAGACAGGAATTTTAATTTGCCTCTATTATAAAATAGGTCATATAATGTTCTTTCCCAAGTATAATATGCTAGGGTTGAAAATTTATCACAGCAGAATTTCAATAGTTTACTACGGAGTTTTTGACTTGCCCCTATAGCTAAAAGTATCTTCAATTTTCAAGCATAGTATTACAAAAATTCAACTGAGTAAGCTGCAGGTAAAGTAAGGTTAGCTTAGTTAAGAATCCTTGAGGGAAGAATCTTAATTCTCGGATGTTAAAACCATCAAAATTTTTGGGTCAAAATTTTGTAAAAATACAGCTAGTTCCGCTGAAGCATGAACTACCAGAAATTTCAAATCTCTGGCGGTCCATATCTGAATTAAAATTTCTGTAGTTTAAAATTCTTTAGAGTAGAATTCGAACTCATGGGTGTCAAAATCATTCAATTTTTGTTTTGCAAATATGCCATTGAATGCACCGTAGTTACGTTAGTGTAAGAATCCTTCGCAGAAGAGTCTTCACTCTAGGATGTCTAAACCATCAAGATTTTGAATGACCTCTACAGCAGTTGAAACTACTCTCCATTTTTACGAACAGTAAGGCAAAATGATCACTAGAATAGCCAATTTTACGATAGAATGGCATGAATGATAAACTACCGTATAAACAAGCATCAACGAATGCTTTGACGTCAAGATTGGCCAGCTCCGCTTGTTTTTGTCAACAGTTTTTAATCTCAATCAATAACAAAACTGAGAAAATTTTTGAATTGATAACGTTGAGAGTTATAATAAATAGACGGCGATTTAGATTTTATACGGGAAATAGAGTAGAACTGATTCTATTGCGCAATCAGTGTTAGCAAATAAACTACCCTGTTGTTTTTACGTCATCTAAGCCTAGAGTAGTTTATTTACACTTATTTATACACCCCACGTTGCGAACGGCATGAGATAAATGGATAAATTGCAGCTGGATGTACTGTACGATTCTAATATTTGAAGATCGATTAGAACTCAATACTAGAACTCTCTATAGTACTTTCAACGATTACGCTATCGGCTGTTCCGTCCAATCTCAGAACTAGGTGATATTGACGTCAAGATAATATTGCCTTATTACTATCAAAACAGGCAAGACGACAAGCAATTTAACAACATTATTTTGTTATAACGAGAGTATAGCAAGATAGATATAGGCAAATGGACTACTTATCTAATTAGTAGCACGATTTTTCAATCATGATAAACAGATGGTTTCATTGGCTGTTTAAAATTGCATAATAATAAATAATGTTTACTACAATCTCTTCTCATGGACTGTATTCGAATTCATAGTTCAAAAGTTCAATTTTAATAAGGATTGGATATGCTTCAAGTGCATGAATTGACTAGAAACGAATTAAAGTCTAAAATAAACGTAATATTTATAATTGATGTGACTTAGAGTTAATAAAGTAACCAATGCTTACTAGTGATTACATAATGGAGAAAATATTGGATCAGCTTTTAATCCAGCAGATAAATATAGTAATTTGTGTTCTATCCTTATAAAATTTTACTCGATGATAGCAATAAGCGTCAAAGTGATATTCGATAGGGGAATTCTTGCACGATTCTAGTCTGAAAAATAAGCCACTAATATACTGCAAAGTAGTTTAAAAAATGAACCAAACGGAAATAGAATAATACTACGCGAGAACTAACTGGAATGAATTGGAGGAAATGTCTCTTGCGACTGATTGATCTCATTTGCACTTAAGCCATATTTCAAATTTAAAGCGAATTAAATGCTACACTACACCATAAACTTAACTTGGGACGCGAGTCTAAAGTAAAATTCTTTCATTAACTAAGTTTGAATAGATAGGCATTAGGCTATCTTTGTCCACTAAAATAAAATACCTATGAGGTACTGATATAGGTGATCATGAAATTTCACGTATTATGAACTTCTTAAATGAGCATACCGATCACATTATTAATTAGAATCTAATTATCATACCTTAATTATGTATTTCCTTAATTAATGCATATGGAATTTTGGACTTTTCACATATAGTTTATGGAATGACTACAAAGATCTAATTTGCCATTCTTTTTTTATATTTCTTGCTTACTATAACAACTAAACATAAACGACTACGGCGGTATTTATAAATATCATCAATCAATTTTAGCTGGTATAAAATGCAAGCTTTGCTCATCAAGCAAACTGAACATTCATGCGCGTAAATACTGAAATGATTCGATACTCTTCATTGCATAAATAAGCGACTGTTGTCAGTAAAAAGTTTACATGAGTATTATAACAGAGCTGTAAAAATAGATAGAATAGCTTACCTTGCATGCAGGTGAAGTTTAATTGAGGTAAGCGCCTGAATGTTTCTCCAATGATTGGATTATCGATGGCTGTTTGGAAGGGAAGTACGCTACCATCGTCTTTGCGATGGGCGCAAAACAATCCCTCTCTACAGACACCTTGTCCGACAGGGCTCATTCCGATAGCGCAAATTTGATTTTCATTTTTGACGCAAGTTTGGCAACAACCGCAAAAATCAGAAGCAATTGGTTCCTCACAATCTGGCCTAGGACATCGAATTATTTCGCATTGTGGACACGTAGTGGCCCAACAAAGGCTTACGGCACTGGCAAGTGCCAATGAAAGAAAAAGGAATTTCATAGAGTCGATCCTTATAGTTAAGAAAAAGAACAGACGAACAAAGATTAAAAAAAAAATTGGCTGCATCTACCGCTCATTCTCTGTCAATTTTAAATCTTACAACTGAGCTAAAAGCACTTCATTTAATCTAATGAGTAACTATTTTGATTAAATCGTATCGATTAATAGTCTGTACTAATTATATCAATACTATCATTACTTATCTTTCCTATTAAAAAGATGAGAATAGGATAGCAAATAAAATGACGCAAAATTGAACACCTAATTCTAGTGCAAGACTTATTTCGATATTTTTTCTTAGTTTAGAACATCATCTTAATTCTTAAATTTATCGATTGCAGTCTTTTCAAACACTAAGCAATTATCATCTAAAATTTCCTTTTTAATCGATAAGCGATATTTTATAAAACAAAAATTTTGCTGCAATAAATGGCTTGCTTCATGCTATCGTTATTTTCTTTCTAGCATTGGTTAAACTATATAAATTTTCTAAAATAGGAATTCTCTAATGTCAAAATTATTAACTTGAAAAAAACTCAGCAGCAATCACAAAAGAACTGAGACCTATTCTAAGCTTACTGAAGTTCAAGAAGCGTATTAGAATACTCTATCTAGGAATCCACTCGTTACCATTTTGAAAAATAGTGACTAGGGTGAGTAAAGCTGTTTAAGTTTTATTACAACGTTTCTTGCAATATTAGAAAGTGCAATAGTATTTAATCAGGAAATTGCAGAGCTGATTAATGTAATTTCGTATGATCAAAGACTAGGAAGTACACGTATTATGCACTAATTTTTGCTTCACTATAAACATAACTTTTTTTAGATTACTGAATTGGAAGTTAATGAGAATAATTTTATCTGTACTTTTATCTCCTTTTTTTAGATAAAAATATGTTTTGTTAATGTTATCTAAGTGATACTGATTTGTTTACGTATCTATGGTAGAACTCAATTGGTTTTTCCATAAAATTTAGGTTACCAAATTTAGTTTTAAGTAAATTGAAGGATGTGTTTTCACTGTACCCTCCTGAAGACAGGAAACGCTTAGTATTTTTAAGTTATACGAAGTGCTAGAAGATTTACGCTTACTGTCTCGTTGCAAGCTCAAGTTTGTAAAATTTTACTCCATTTTCTCAACATCTTACTCTAAAAAGTTTGTTACTAAAACGGATATTCGTACTGCTGAAAACGATCCCTTATCTATCTTCATGTACCGTGAAATCAAAGACTATCTAATTAGAATTTGAAAATCTTGAATTTGCAAAATGAAATAAAAACCTACAAAAGAATTTGAATTCCAGCTACCCCAAATATTAAGTTTCTTAATATTTGTTACTTAATAAAGCATCAATGTCATTAATAGTGTAAGAGAAATCCATCAATTCTAGAGTGAACTAGTAGGGCTTTTAAGAGTAATTTTTTTCCAAATTTTACCTTACAAAACGTGATCTTCCCTATAAGATTGATTTGGACTTGATAGATTGGGTAAAGTTTAATCAATCGGGTCTTAAGTGATGTCAGTGCCTTGCACTCGTCTATATAGGTATGGATTTGAGCAGTAGGTGGTCTAACAAAATGATATTTATGAAGGCATTTGATTGTCATTAATAATTTTACCTATGATTGGTTACGCCATTGAAAATATTGAAATTTTTTCGTGAGGTTAATAACATGCACGACCCCATTCTAAGTTCGTTTCATAATATTTTTGCACTGTCATTCATCCTAAGCTTACCACAATGATATCTGATGCCGTAGCTTATACGAGCACCGAAATCAGTGAATTCAAAATGTGATGAAATAGTAGACATTGTCAAAATACACAACATGCTACCATGCGTAGCTGATCGTCATTCCATGGCTATTTGATGTATAGTCATTAAAATTCACAGCAGACCCCACGGAATACTTTAAAAGTCAAATGAATTAATAATATTTTTCCTATAATGAAAATATACACTACTATCGAGTAGAAGCACGCGGTGTTCAACGGTCCTTTTGGAACAACTGCTATGCATCGAGTTAGAAGACAAGCAGTACCGTTCTATTAATCAGACACTTGTTATTATTTTTATTTTTGAGACGGTATTCAGGTATTAATTTAGATTGGCTTTTTTTATCCAATTCAAAGGATAATCACTCAATATCAAAGCGTATATTCCTAGATTGAAGATTGCTGTAATTTGGTATAGCAGCAGTGTTCAATATTCATTCCACCATTTTATGCAAACGCTGCATCCATTTACTCATTGGTCTAATATTGCACTAGTTTCTAGTTTTGATATACGACATGTATATCAAGTTCAAGCGTAGCAATAGCCTGTATGGCTCCAATTTAAGAGCACAGATGAAATTCAAAAATAGTAAAACTATTCCAAGCGCCAGAATTAACCTCTACGTAAATATTATGCACGAGCGATTGCTCTCGACTGACAAAATCACTGCATGTAAATGTTTAACGGCGGCTTAAGTTCGATATTGATCAACAGATAGCTTTCCAATATCCATGTAGAAAGTATTTTCTTTAGCAAAGATAATGCAAACAATTGGGTGCATGCATAAAATTTAAGTAATATTCTAGGTTCAAAATGATGTCATTAGTACTAACGATTATTTGAGTATGATATTAGAATATGGCTTGAAATGAACGCATTGTTTTCGTCTGCGATTTTATGACAGATAGAGAGTAAATTTATTCGTGGATCGAGTGTGTTTAGGGTTATATGCATATTGATCTTAATTTTACTAAAATACAATATGAAGTATAACGTACAATGTGAGCAGCCTCTGTTATATACTTAAGTTTGAAGATGCGCTGTCGCTACGACTATTACAACTGGCTTCTATATATCATTATAATGAGCACCATGAATATTCAATATTTTCTAATAGCAGATAAATCTATTTGCACCAACTATGCCATATGTGACTTCGCATAGCTAATAAATTGTCGCTTTGGCGGCAAATTGTAATTCTTCGAAAAATATTGCACCAGGTACGAGCATGTTCGTGGTGATTAAAGAATTTATATTTTGATATTTAGATGAAAACCAAGTGTGATAAATAACTTTCGACACCCTACAATCGACTTTAGCTTTACAATAATCTTAATAAACTTGGTATTGCCTAGAATTTTCCCAAATTAAAGTATTTTAAAAATTTTTATCAGCATTCCTTATTGATAATCGGAATTTAGGAAATGAATGAATGATTTACTTTAGACAAATAGAGAATTAAAATTAGATAAATTTTTTTCGCATTTTAAACCCTGCATGATACTATCATAAATCCTGCATCTTCGTATGAAATAACTGAAATATCTAAAATTTGTTACCCGTTCTCTTATATTAAAATACTGCAGCTGAAAATGAAGCCCTGCAGTTGTGTCAGCACAATTTTTCAACTGCTAACATATTTTAAATGGATTTGGAAATACCATTCATTGAATTCCTTAAAAATTAATCATTTTTGCGTTGTTTTCTTTATGATGCCACTAGTTACCTTCATATAAAATCAACTAGGAGAAGATAGTCTATTTTAGCCTCTTTTTTAAAGTAAATTTTTATTAAATGGAAATAGTAACCGTTGATTCTCGAAAATTTTTGTTTGATATAGGCTCCATCAGACAGTAACGCTGTCCGGAGATTGATTTAAATTTGTTTCATCACCCTAAGCGGCGGCTATTGACAGTTACCAGGCGAATAGTTTATGGATCTAGTAAGCTCTGTTACTCGTTCATACCTTACATACATCGCATTAAACGCTCTACTTCTGCATAAACAGGAGAGGAATAAACCTTTTGCTACGTATATCCTGTGTTATGATAGGATTACATCGATATAAAATCAATAAACATTTAAAAACAACGCAGAATAAGATCTTTGTACTCTATTAATAAATTGATTATTTGATCTATATATCATAACAGATTTTAGCTTCTACGAGTATTCATGTAAAGACAATATTGAGGTATACATACGTTGAGTAACATAAGAAAAATCATTATATGTAAATTATAATGAGAACAATGCTGGCGTTTTAATTTTTGACTAGAATGGTTAGGATTGGTTATTCGCTCATTAAATTACCAGTAAAGAAAACAAATTAAGCCAGAGTAGTAGAAATTAAACACAAGTGATAGGCAAGAAGAGTGACGAAGTTAAGTTTAGCTCACCTGATTTCATTAATGATAAACAATAAGCAGTCTTGAATATTTAGATCTCTTCTTTATTTCTAGAATACAAGCAAAGCAAACATTAAAAAGTTGAGATAGTTGAAAGCGATGAGAAGTATAGAAATATCATTATTATCTTGAGTGAGACTTTGGTTATATTGATATATCAGCTAGTACTAGACATCAGCGGTCCTCCCAATATACTATCGCAGAATACTGTATCCGAATACATATTTTTGATTATTGCTTTAGTTTTTATAGCGATATCTTTTTTTGATATGCAAGTAGACTCTGATTGACTTTCGATGACTGCTCGATATTGCTTTAGTTTTCATAGATATAGCTTTATTCATATGCAAGTAGACATTGGTTAATTTTTGCTCGATATTGCTTTAGCTTTTTCAGCTATGCATGTATTCGTATATAAGTAGACAGAGATAGCAATTCAATTGTTTGAACTGAGCTATGCTATGTGACCAACTTATCAAATAAGTGAAGGTCTTGTCTGACGCTAAGTTATGAATTTTTTTATTTTTTTCATAAGATCTCTAGTGACGATGAGAACGGGTACCGGCTAAATCGTTTTGAATTCTAGCTGTAACTAGATAGTAAGATCGACTAATTCTGACTCTCCTATAGCTAAATTTAATTAATTTTTCAAAATTTGGATATAAAAACAAACTTTTACTTACCACTGCATTAATTATGTTTGCGGCGTATTGAATTTAATTACCGGTTTTAACCTGTCTACCAAGTACATTAATATGCAAATACTTTGCTCTATGACGTGCGAGTATGTGCTAAAATGCTGACTGTATGTATAATCAATCACAGGTTATACGAGATTTTACCGCTAAGCAGAAATTATACATCCCTATAACCAGAATTAGTCACTGAAGCTATTTATACTGGCAAGAAGAATGCCGTAAATTAGCTGCAATGCGATAGTAGCTGTAAACTATCGCTGCGGTAGCTTGAATGAGTAACTTTTGCTTTTATTTACAGATGGCCATCAGAATAGCAGTTACAGAAGTAACATCTGCTAAAATGATTTTTATTACCATGCTAATTTGAGGATTATGTTAGATTACCTTTAACTTCGGATTAAAGCGGACACTGTTGGGTTTAGTAAGATATTCTAATATGAGAAGGTATTAATTACCTATTAAAAGCGATAAGTTACTACAGAGTTCATGTTTGTCAATCTTATAGTTGGAATAGTCTAGTGTTATGTGAATATATTTGGTGTAGGAATAAATTACTGGGTGTTAAAAATCAATACTGTTTGGCACTTTAATATTGACTTGAGCTTGTTTCTATTTCGTTGTATAATAAATTTTTTACCTTTAGGAATAAAATTGAATGCAATTTCAATAGATGCTTATAAGACTATGAAGAATAGTCGACACAGATCAACTCGCCGTAAATTAGGGTAGGAGCCAATATTGATATGACAGTATGAAGCAAGTAATGCCAAATTAGGAAAGGTGATTGTGTTTTCTATTAAAACTGAACAGTAAGGTTTACATGGGAAAAGGGTATTGCTGTTCTACTGTAAATTAGCACCGTGAAAAGTTTAAACGCTCTCACACCATTACACGTATTCATCAAATGTGTTTGTAGCCGTTGCACTATCGAATTCTTCCAATGTAGCGATAGCCCTGCAAGGAAATTTCGTTGTTGATTTTAGCAAAGGCAATCCTATGTTCAAAGTCTACGATTCTCTTTTGACTGAAATTGCACCTATCTAGATGCTAATTATATCATTATTCTCTCATTAGTCGTTATTCATATAAAACATTGTTGGTATTAAGATATTAATTAAACTAGGCATTCCAGTATGGAGGACTTTAACCTTAGCTCACAAATTAGTGTTACAATTTCTCAAAAATAATCTTTCTCTGCATGTAGAATATAAATTGTTCAGTTTACGATCCTGTAGCGGCAGGTATGAATATTTGCCAGCCCGGATAATTCTTTTGAGTGAGATCATAAATCGATCGCCTAATTGCCAATGTCAAATTATTTTATATTTATTTTGATAAATCAGCAAGAAAATTAGAAATAGGAAATGACGGCTAAAAATGTAAATATAACAAATGGCATACGAGTATGTCTGCGAATGCAGATTGCAGACTTGATATGTCTTCTAGCTACTGTATATTATCTTTGCCTTTATTGCTAGAGTGGAAGAATTCGTTACCGATATGATTTTATAATTTCTATGTCTGGTAACCGGACCATATACCCGTAGTGCTAGACGACAATTTCTACCAGTTGCACAGTGGGTGTGGAATTCAGAAACGAATCAGTCTGCACTTGGAAATAGAAGCATTGACTAGCTAAAAGTTCAATAATAAAAACTACAGTATACCCGATACCTATTTGCCTGCTCGTATACGAGATTGATAAATGTTTAGCCTGTTTGATCCTGTGTTAGTATTGAGTTGCTTTTACTTTAGGCTGTAGTAATAGCAGACTAATTTTGGATAGTTTTCCTTAATAATTATAAAAGTTACAAATGAAATGATAACGCAATCTTAATTGATAGAGTATGATAGCATTAGTTAAACATTTTTTACTACAGCATCATTCGATATATGGACTGCAGTTAGTCAGTCACCATTTTATTTGATTGAACAGCTTCATCATTATATTTCTAGGCTCTTTTTGGTAATTACTGTAAGAAAATGTTCCAAGGTTGCCATCAATCAATGTTAGTAGTTTATTAATAAATACTGTTTAAGATCATGTAGCACGGCATTGCAATCTGTTATAGCCATCTTCGAGATAGCTTATCTCCTATGGAATACGCTACCATGACAGGAAGGCACTTTATTTCATACCTTTACATGCCATCACAGCCTTTGCCGCTATATCGTCGATAGGACATCATCAAGTGCCTCTATTTCGTCTTTTCTTACATTAAAGGAGAGGCTTGACGAAGAAATACCACATGAACCTGTTGCAGCAATGAATCTATCTAATGACATTATTCGATGCATTTAGTAGCATTGTACTGTGCAATAAATAAATGAAAGTATAAAAGCTGGGACGAATGTGTTTTGGTCATAAAAATTTTAATTTACAGCTAAGCCTAATAGCTAGATCCAATGTCAGACCTTGCAGTTTAGGCAACAGCGATGGCATGCAATTGGTAGAGCTACAAGAGATGTTCATAATTGCTACCTTGTCCAATAGCAGTATCTGAACACCAATGCTACAGTGCCCCCCCCCCCCAAAAAAATAAAATAAAATATTTTTTCTTCCATTTCTATAATCGAATTAGATTTCAACTTACTTCATATGATGGCAACAGAGATATTGATGGAGATGTGAGACTACTATACCTGCAAGTCACATTGTTATAGAGTTACTCCAATTTTATTCTTGATACGTTAAGAAATCCCCCAAATTGATTGAATTAGAACAGTAGCAAGTCGATTGATCATTTTCGATTCTATCCAATCATTACCTAACCATGTTGAATTCGTGTTGTAACTGAACCAATTCCGTCCTACTTTTAGTCTGCTGTGCAGCCATCAAACACGGTTCATGAATGAAATTGTTTCTATGGCTGCAAAGGATGCAATAGTGCGTTACTACTCTACGTTTATGCAAATACTGTAGGTATATTTGTGGGGGTTCATGGAAGTAGACCATGATAAAGGTGTTGAACAGCTAATTGGCCAGTATTGGATTCGTTTCATAAGGAAAAAATCGACCAAAGACATACAGTAGCAAATGGTACCAGGTAGATCTATAACGACGGGCTTTAAAAGTATATTAAATTACTACATGTTGGTAACATCGATAGCCAGGTGATATGCAGAAAAATCGCCATAAAGGAAAATATATGCGTAGACGTTGATCAAAAAGTTGCCTAAACAGGTAGACTAGTACCAATCATATCAGCTTAGAAGCAATGATGAGAAGAGTAATTCAACTTTATAGTATATCAAGTTGCGAAATTGCTTTGCTAGATCGATCAGGGTAAAACATACCTATTTTACAGAATGATCTTGAGTCACAAACACGGTCGTGACAATGATCTACATGAGAATCATGCCTGCTTCTAAATGCCCTTGTTAAGACTGAAAACTGCTTGTAGAGGACAGAAATGAACAGGAAAAATAATACAGTCTATTTTCAATGTTTAACAGGGATTTTTTCTCGCTCATTTCAAGTAGTGATGATGGGCTTTATGCGTCAAGATTAACTCATTCTTGAGTATGCGATTTATAGGAAAATGGCGCTGTTATACAGTATTTAAACGATGTAGATGAAGACTAAAGAGTCTACCAGGAAGGAAATAAGATAATCACACTATCATATAAGGTTAATAAAACTCTGCTCTGAGTATTTTAGCAATCTCTAGCTTAGGAAAGACAACCGACTATTGCGGAAAAGAAATGAACAAATAAAAGATAATATCATGTTGTCGATGATTATAATAATCAGCTGCATTTTTGCCATCAAAGTCTGCGAGACCATCTGCCAGCCCGACATTACCTTCAATTTAATATATGTCTGTAATGCATCCAATTCAGTATTATCCGCACAATAATGTGGCAAAACTACATAGGTATACGGTATAGGTACTAAAATTGAATTTAACCGCAGTTAAATTGGATCAAGACTTGGATTACGAAATTGAATAATCGAAGGTGAGTAGACTGAGCCACCTCAACAGAGAATTTTGGTTGAATTTCAGCAGTGGACGAAAATGAACGTTGAACGAGGTTGGGTCTACGCTAAAGGATCTCTTATTAGACCTATTTCTAATATGATTTACGAAATTTAGTAATCGTTAATCGCGTTAAGGATCTCTGGGAATAAATTAATTCATTACGCCTGTTCCTAATATATATATTTAGGATCTGGATTACCAAATTAAGCAAACTATGGGTGAACAAGGATTCAGTGAATAGGATTAATTCAACTTACTGTACTCTAAATCCGATGAGAACCTAGAGTAATCCATGGTTAATTTAAGAGCTTTAGAAATTAAATAATATCAATTAAATCTATAGCATTCCCAATAGGTTAAGGCCTCCATTACGAAATGGAGTATACCATGGTTAATCAGCTCGGGTATTCAATCAAGCCTGCTGCAAATAGGTTTAGGGTAAAGGATATCTGGCATTAAGTCAAAATCGATCTAAATATACAATTCTTCCCCAGTCCAGCCATTCTAGAAAACTGGCGGTAGGGTACAATATACACGTATATGCAAAATCGACGTGGATAGTACAGTACCCTACAGGAGGGCAAGATACCACCGCGCTAACTTGCTGCGCACGGTATCATCAAATACGAATTGGCCGCGTTAGTTTTCACACTTTCTGCCACCATTAGTCAACAAGGTAACGAAGAACTGGTGAATTACCTTTGTAGAGGCCTTAAGGTAAGGTAGAAGAATGCTATCATGAGTGCTATTATCGCGGTATGATAGTGACTTGCAAGAATCTGCCCATAACACAGATATTGTATGTTAAAAACCTTTGGCATCTTGCGTCGACTCTTCCATGAGGGAAATTCATCCATTTTACGGCACCATTTTGATCGGACTGTTGAAGTTTGACATCCAATAGTGTATCGCTTTATTAATTAATATTATCATTTTTATCTGCGTTCATGATCATCGGTTATTCATTTCAATTGTGCTTGATGTCGATGTAAAGGCTGCGTTGGAATTTCATTATCAAATTCCTGTCTGATCTCTTGTGTTGTGTTTATGAACATTTTTCTTTGATGACTGACTTTAATAATGTGGAAACTTTGTCCAGTCTAGATTGTACATTCCAAAATTGAAGGCAAGTTTAGTTGATCCAACAACGATAATCAACATTATCCGCGTTCATGATGATCGATTACTCATTTCAATTGTGCTGGATGTCGATGTATAGGCTGCGTTACAATGTTATTAACAAATTACTGTTTGATCTGTTGTAGTATTGATTTTTATGTACAGTTTTCCTTGATGACTGATTTTGGAAACTTTGTCCCATCTAGATTGTACATTCCAAAATTGAAGGCAAGTTTAGTTGATCTAGCAATAGTAAGCAAGATGTTCATCTACATTAAAACCTCTATGGGGAAATTAACGAGGTTAATTGTAGACCCTAGTGATACTATCGAAATGGTCAAAATGAAATACGAATTTGAAGTAGGTAAGGCGTAGATTAATTATTAGCGAAAATGACTTTAAGCTAAAGAGATTTCATCTTGAATGAATAGCAATCTGAATGCTGTTTTACCATGATTGTGCAATGAGCAGAACATAAAGTAGGCTACGGCATGATAATGTGTAGTAGAGTTGATAATTCTGCTAGCAATGGAAATGGATCTAAATTGGATCATCCAAGTAGTATTTAGATTAGCATGAAGTATTATTTAGGTACAAGTATAAATAAGTGCATGTTGCCTACAGTCAACTCTTTCCTGTAATGATTCGAATTGCAATTCCTGTTATCATGGACAGTAAGCGTTTTCACCAATGGATGATTAACGTTATAGGAATACCTTCAGGTAAGCAACGTCTAGTCTTTGGTGGATTACGCCTAGAAGATGAGCATACTTTAGCATATTATGGTATCCAGAACGGTAAGATTGGGCATGTTTCATCTCCAATAGAAGTGGAATAGTATATCACATTATTCAATAACGTATCTTTATTACAAAATCTATAGAGACAACCTTATTTTTGATGCTTACGTTAACGGGAAAATGATATGAAGATGCAAATTGGAATAGGCTTGTTTCTATAGTAAGAATGAGAGAAAGCAAGAGTGTCTTATACACTAATACCTAATGTTCGATGAATTGGTTTGACTGAGCATTGTACATGTCCATAAAATAAATAAAAGTATAAAACACTTTTGGACTGATAAACGAAAGTTGCCGCAAATCTTCATGGTTATTTTTCGTTGATCAAATATTGACCCGCTAATAGATGTAAGATCGTATTTAGTTTTGATAATTTCTCATCATGCCATTTGTTGGTATTGTATCTCATTTAGTATCGCATAAGATTATAATCACTTATCAGGCGTGTATTTTGAACATCCGAAACCCTATCGAAAGTAAAAAGAAGTGAAAGACATTTGCAAAGTTGGTGTAGAATTAATCGATTACTCGTTGTAACGATAAATTGCTGTTGCGGAAAATTATTCCCTTGACCAACTAGTACACGAGCGAGTAAATTAGTAAAAACTAAGATAGCTGCCAATCCGATTATTCTGATATCGAAGGATGTTGTGACAAAACTGCTATTATGAACAAAATCGCTTTCGAGGATCACTTTTATTCAGGAAAGACTCTCGTAAAGTTTATATTTGCAATGACGAATGGCGATGACCAGCTAATATACGCACCAGTAAGTTATTTAAATAAAATACACGGTATTTTATATCATTTCGACTATTCCGAAACCTGTAAGACATTATTACAAATTTTTTCGCGGCTCCTGCAGTAGATCTCAATTCTATCTACCACTCTGACCTGTACTGTAGTAAACAGTCGATATCCTGAACAGAAAATTCCGTAACATTTTGTAGCGACTCCTGCAGTGGAAGATCTAAAGTCCATCTACTACTCTGATCTGTGCTGTAGTAAACAGTCGATATCCTGTACAGAAAATGCCGTAAATTGCAACTCCTGCAGGCATCCATTCCATTACTTATAGCATCCATGTTCACTGGGTAGTAACTACGCTAGATGAGTTTAAGCTCTTCAATCTAGTGAAGCAGTCATGCAGCACAGAGATGGCAATCAGGTTATAACTTGTTCAGTAATTTCCTTGGATAACCCATCAAATGATGATAGTAATAGCAGTACAGCATTACTAATCATAATACGCAGATATTGCAGCAAGGCTACTATATTTCTTACTCTACGAGGACATACAGGTATTGCCAGTAGTGGAGTGGATTGAAATAGAAATATCAATAACTATCTATAGTCTCCAATAGGACCGATCCATCTCGAAATGATTATGATGAAGTTGTCAAGTTAGAGACAAAATCAAGTCAATCTAATGTAGATGATTAAAGCAAATAAATTAGCCATGCAACGAAACTTTTTCACTATACTGTAGATAAGATATATAGGTTATGTGTAGGCATATCCGTTTGAAATATTGGACCTCTTTTAATCTATTGCTGATCCAATGGTAAACCTAAATTGAGGCCATAACTGGCTATAAATCAGTGCTTACTGCAATTATGACCTATATTCAACAGGCATAGAAGATCAATTCCTCGCCAAGAGCAGTATATACGTGACATGTACACATTTCGAAATAGAAGGACAGCGGATTACAGTACTAACATGGAATATAATAATTTATTAATCTAAGAAAGGCCAGTACATACAACATCAATCACAGAACATTTTATATCAATTAGAGATCGATAGAACAAATAGATACAATCTTTCCTGAATAGGAAATGTATGCATATACGTACAGTATTACCATTCCTTTATCCTGGCTACAACGAAATTTATGGATTTATTTTAAATGAGTAAGTCCAAAGGAATAATTTATCTAATAGAGAGAAAAAATTTAAAATTGATCGCAGTACAGTTTCCTATTCCATCGTAATGATTATTGTAATTAGTAAAGCATCCGTTCTCGTTCAAATGTATGGCCTGAAACCAAACATGCTCTCCATGACTGCATCATACCAGTAGGACATTTTTATCGCTTATAATGACGCAGTTACATTACTACTATTTAAAACTTGTGAAATCATTTCGGCAATATATTTCGCGTGGAATTTTTGAACGTAGTGCCCACCATTCCTAAATACAATTTGCCGTGATTGACGTGTTCGTAGTTCATATAGTACGGCATCATTTTCTACGACTGAAAAAGTAAATAGAATCAATTCTGCTGGCAATAATGCAATGAGTGAAGACGGAAAATGATCCTTTTCCATGTGAAAATACGTGTAGAAGTTGCAAATCCATTTAATGTAAAATTGTTGAATCAGTTAATATTTCATCTTGTTTATGAAACTTACCTTGTCCATCACTAATCTCTGCTAATTCCTTCATGGTTTTTAATCCTAAAGTTTGACCAATTCCACTAAATATCGCATTTTCGATAAGTGCATCATTCTTCCCGTAAGCCAAGATAACAGGAGCATTTCGATCACGAATGCATTGTAAATTCTTGGTGTGTAGTGCAAAATCAAGACTGGCAACTATATCTTGAGTATGCTCGATTTCACCTTTGACGAATCTGCTCACTTTAAATCCAAGCATGCGATAAAAGTAAGGCAAAATCATTCCAATTATGACTTTGGTTAACCAGCAGAAATGGAGTAAGTAGGATAATAATTTCACCACTAATTGAAGTCAAATAAAGGTTAAGTTACTGAAGTAAATAAAACTCACTGTGTACGTACGATTATTTGTTGATAGCATAATATAGAAGGCAATTTTTAACCGTAACGAAATGCAGACCTATTCGACCTAATCTACTCGTAGCTGATAATGAATTGAACACGACAGTAGACAGTAGGTATAACATCGATATTGGTAAACAGTGTGGTAGAAATTACCTGAAAATGGACTTATAGAGTGGTGAGGTCTTAGGCCAGGGCCAGATATCAGCCCAAGACTTAAAACCAAGTTTGGATGTGTAACAAGTAGGTTGGAAATAACTGTGCATGAAAAGCTATGTGCAATTGCCATATCAACCTTGTCAATATTCAAACTAGACAAAAAGTTCACCACAAAATGGACCAGGTTCATGGGGTTATATTGGAGATCATCTGGCTTTTCTGTCTCTCCAAATCCAGGAAGGTTGATCCTTATCACTCTAAATCCTTTTTGAACTAACGGAGGAGCAAGATAACGAAAGTCATAATGGTTTCCTGAAATAAAATAGCAAACAGTTATCGACAGTTAGTACCGTCATGGATCCTTCGCCACATTGTTCAAGTGTTGAACAGTATTTCTGGCGATGTGTACGTTATTTTAAGGATCGTGTACAATATTGGCGTCGGGCATGACAATGATGAACAGAGTTATAAGTTTGCATTAAATACAACTGATTAAATTCTTATTTTATCATTGATGAAGATTGATCATTTACCAGGGCATCCGTGCATGGCTATAATAATTCGAGATCCTGTAGGATTTTCGTCCGTGTAGCTAGCCTTAAAATGGCGGACAGAAGTAATACCCATATTTTGGGTACTAACTTGAGTGTATTTTACCTCTGGATCCGATGGTGTAGGTAAATCGTACTTGTCATTTTCTTGTTGATGCGTGTTGCTTGACATGGCTGAGAAATTTCTAGGAATGATTGGATCAATTGTAGATCTATCTATCTTGTATATTCTACATTAATATATGTAAATGTACAATATGCTTTCTCTTGTCGGCTAGTACTTGGAATGGATGATAGTGTAAACAGTGCGTGTATCGTGTTTAGGGTGTGTCCACTACCTAGACGACGATACTAGGAATACGTAATGTTATTGGCATCCTTGCTAATTAATTCTTGTACGATGAAAGGAGTTTAAATTCTCATTCGTGACTAGACTTTAGCATAACATACAGTATACTATATTATTTACTGCCATGCATATGGTATCGACTAGTCTCCTTCATCAAAATAATCGGGTTAGGGTACTTCTGATAATAAACCTTACGCTGTAGATGGGTCGTAGATCATCGAATTCGACTTGTTTCAGTCACTGTTGATCCTTGATTCGTTGGATGGTATCGTGCCATATTTAAAGCAGCAATAAAAGTAAGCTCTAACGACTGCCTTTGTAATGTCATCGAATTCTACTTGTTTCAGTCCCTGTTGATCCTTGATTACTTGGATAATATCGTCTCATATTTAAAGCAGCAATAAAAGTAAGCTCTAACGACTGCCTTTGTAATGTCATCGAATTCTACTTGTTTCAGTCCCTGTTGATCCTTGATTACTTGGATAATATCGTCTCATATTTAAAGCAGCAATAAAAGTAAGCTCTAACGACTGCCTTTGTAATGTCATCGAATTCTACTTGTTTTAGTCTCTGTTGATCTTTGATTACTTGGATGATATCGTGTCATATTTAAAGTAGCAATGAAAGTAAGCTCTAACGACTGCCTTTGTAATGTACATTGACTAGGTAGGTGCAGTCGCGTATGAAATTAGAATTGCATCGACAAACTTTGATATCTTGAATTTAAACTCTCATCAATGAGTGGTATAATCGACACTAACAGAGGCACTGGATAGCAATAACAGTAGAAGCATGGCATCAAACAAGGATCAACACAACAATAATGAGTTTGAATTACCAACACCATCTGATCCGGAGGTAAAATACACTCAAGTCAGTACTAATAATATGGGCATAACTTCTATCAACAATTTCCAAGCTGGCTACACTGACGAAAATCCTACAGGATTTCGAATTGTTCTAGCCGTTCATGGAACTCCTGGTAAGTGATGATAGGGTATCACGGATTGATTCAATTTCAGACTGTTCCATAAATTTAACTTTTCATCAAGTTAAGAGTAATCGAAGCTAGATCCAATACTGTACACTGACCATGGTTAAAATAGGTTGGATGAGATGATCAGTATCGCTCATTAGATGACATAATGATTACGATGATCGGTACAACAGTTTGTCTTATGAGTAAATTAAATGCATGTGATTATAGGTAGCCATCATGACTTTCGATACCTTGCTCCACCTCTGGTTCAAGCAGGATTAAGGGTTATCAGAGTTAATCTCCCTGGCTTTGGAGCTACGAAGAAACCGGATGAGCTCGTATACAATTTTAACACAATGGCCCATTGGCTAGCTAACTTTTTATCTAGTATTAATATTCATACGGTTGATATGGCTGTTGGACATAGCTTTGGATGTGCAATCATTGCCACCTTGTCTGTTACACATCCAGAATTAATTTCAGCTTTTACACTCCTATCTACCTTTGGCCTAAGACCCCACCGCATTATTAGACCATTTGCAGGTACTACTTTGTTACTACCTAACCAACAGCTCGAGTATTAGTTTCATGCATGCGACATTTTAGTAATTAAATAAAACGCGCTTCAAATTCGTATGGGTTTGTAGTCATTAATATCTAAAAAATGATATAATAATCGCTTTAAATAAGCATCGATTTGTAAGCAATGATACCTGAACGTTATAGGATAATATACAAGATTCTATATTAGTGAACATCTACCTGCAAATGTTGCTATCCTGTAATTCTATAAGATAACATACAAATTTTAACTAGTCGTAATAAATGCGTCTCATAATAATTATCTTAGTCAAATAGTATTTCCTAAAAGGCTTCTATTACAAGGATTTAGTAATAGTAGAGCAATAATTAATTACTACAAGAATCTAGTCTAAAATCGAAAGTATTCCGAGCTTAAAGAGAAGTAAAGTCTCTTCTCCTCTGTGAGCTCATCTCTACAGTTCTTATAAACATTCGTTAAATCCATTTATGACAACTTGATTAATCTACAATCAGATATGAATCATCAAACAAAACACTTTTCTCTAATAGTACGTCATTATTTTCTACAATCGAAATCGTTCTACTAAAGATGTCACTACTCTTCCATTAACGTCTAGGCCCTTTCTTCGAAGGGTATTTTAACAACTACAGTGTTTTTAGCTACATAAATCTTGTACCATAATTAGTCAACTGGCTACTATTAGTCATCAACAATTTCTAATATAGTAGTTAGCAATCATCTAATATTGGCTTCACGGTAATATCTATCCAAAGCAGCCTAAATATATCTAATATAGCTATCCATATATTCAAATATGGGTGCATTACTACACTAGTGTAAGATAACAATGCTTCTTTTTTTACTAGCGATAAAGTTGTCAGCATACCTTCTGGATCTTTCATGGGTAACCAACTTTATAGCTACCAAGATTTTAACTTGTGCTTATAGAATGGCTGGATTTAAAATGAGCAAATTTGTTGAAAATGAAATGGTACATAGTCACCAGTTGACTACCAATATCGATTTTGACCAGCATGCCAATAATTTAAAATCCATTGGTAAAAGGAAAGTTCCTGTCATTTTAGCATACGGAAAGGATGATCCACTTATTGAAAATGAAATATTTAGTGAAGTTGGTCAAATATTAGGACTAAAAAGTATGACGGAATTAAGTGATTTAAATGGCGAACAAGGTGAGATTCATATCCCTATGTACAATATTCAATGATTTAAACTTAAAAACTCATAAACGACTTTTAAAGTATCTTCTCATATTAAACGTACATGTCGCACCGTTTTTAATAAGGGATTGTTTTTACTTTTCAGATATAGAAAATGGAGTCATGTATGAAATACAATTAAATCAATCACGAGAAATTGTGTTTAGAAATGGTAGCCATTATATTCAAAAATTCCATGCGAAATATATTGCAAAAATTATTATACAAGTTATGAATAAGCAGTAAATGATTTCATCAAATTGGATCCTCTGGTTGTGGATATAACATCAGAAACGATTGTTTTTGCTAATTATTATAATACATGACTTTTAGATATGGATCGTTAGAAGAGGATTCATGCATGAAAAAGTTTTTATTACATTATTTGGTAATAAGAGCATAGGCCTACACTTTGTAAGATAAATGTTGCAGTAGCTCGTATAGCAAGAAAAATTTTATCTCTATTTGAAAATGTATACAGTTGTACATTCACTAAATATCTATAAGGTTGATAGATCAAGAATCTTTGAAGACGTTAGAAAATTAAGATTTGTTGAACAAAACCTTGTTTACAAAGATACAACGTAATCGATCAGCTGAGGACCTCTAATGAGAAAGAACGAGTTTACTGTACTAAACCGCTCGCATATATACTTTTCCGCGTTAATAGCTGACTGTCTTGGAATCTGTTGAGAGATCATCTCTGCAGTGCAGTATCCAGCAACTCTAAGTGATGCAACACACTGCGGCATTTACGTATCCAGTTACATCGATGTCTTTCAGTGTGTTTTACGCTTACTTTGTAGCTGAATGTGAAATTTCAGAAATGTCTGAATATACTAATAATATAGTGGGCTACTGACACTAACTCACTGTAGATCAAATTATAACCCCCTAGTTGTATTATTCCACATGATCTATATTGTCAACCTCAAAGTAATCATTATTATTGATTGCAATACTTAGCCAATTTACGCTTCATTGTTATGATTGGTGTTCAAATCGGCAATTTTTATGTCGATTTTCAATGCAATTGTATGACTTTATCGAGTTTACCCACCCTGTACTATGGAATAGCAAGTTTCGGCCATTTTGATCAGACGGCAAGGTAATGCACGCTGCAGAGCACAGGTCTAAATTAGCCAACGATAAGCATCTTGGAATATAGTGTATATGCGTCTAATCATATGTAAAAATAGATATTTGGCTAACAGTAATTATCATGGAAGCTCTCAAATCCTGTATAAGCAAAACATGTTTGGCACAATTTAGTAGTGTACAGAATACTGGTTTAGACTATGCCTGTTCCAGGTCAGGGCTTCGCTGAACTAGCTCAAGAGCTAAAAGCGAGCTTTCGACAGCCAGGTTCAATTTAAACAGACGCATAGACGTTGGTCAGGGTTTCGCTGAACTAGCTCAAGAGCTAAATGCGAGCTCTCGACAGCCTGGTTCAATTCGGACCGATGTTGGTCCATTTTTTAAGTTTGCTATTCTGCTTCTACGGAGAAATGGACATTTCAACGAAAAACAAGGGAGAGCTATCCATGATAACCCATGATTCATGAAAGGGTTAAAGCCACAAGTAGAAGTCCTTGCCGTTGCCATGGCATTCGTGCTAAGCTGCAGTATTAGTACGGTATAGCTAATGCAATTTCTATATATTATATAGTATACATAAAGTAGCAGCCGATTTTTTTGTAATGCCATCACGGCCACGGAGAGTTTTTTTTTTGCAGCGGCTATAGTCCCTGATATAGCATATGCAAACAGAGGAATTATAGCTAACAGTCGTTCAGTATACTAAAAATGGCGGACTGACTATTTTGCATTTTGCTGGTCATCTTAACTCAGTCATATATCTGAAACGATATATGCGTTCTACTGTACTACCGTAGTATACTGTCCTGTCTGCGATTGGAGCTGCTAACAGTAGTTGGTTTTTGTACACTATGGCATACGGTTTCAATGATAGCGTAGAGTAGAAAGACCAGGAAAATGATTTTCCTTTGGCACTGCTCATAGGACATATCCTACAGTGAACAGCCTTCGGGACGGACAGACATTTAACCTCATTTCGTTCACAAATAGGTTGCTAAATACTTCGTTAGTGGATTCTGAACTGACTGATTTTTTTCTCGATGAAGTCATATTATATTGTATACCATTACCTGTTGCTAAGTTCTGCTTGGAAGCAGAGTAACTTTAGATCATCCATGTTTTTCAAATGAATACGAGTGATTAAGAAAACAGACAAGGAAGATTCGTACCGAATAGTCCTTTTTGAACATGGTCGGCCTCATCAGGTATGAAAAGTCCGTCCGACAGTCCAAGACTTTTGGACATGGTCAGTAGGCCTGATCATTTTGCATAGATTTTTATACACTTCGTTTAAGCATGTCTAACGTATCAGTAGGACAGCTTAAACGAAGTGTATAAAAAAATCTAAAATCTATCTATGCAAAATGATCAGGCCTAATGGTCAGCCGCATCAGGTATGAAAAGTCCGTCCGACAGTCCAAGACTTTTGGACATGGTCGGCCTCATCAGATCTGAAAAGTCCGTCCGACAGTCCAAGACTGTTGAACATGGTCGGCCTCATCAGGTCTGAAAAGTCCGTCCGACAGTCCAAGACTTTTGGACATGGTCGGCCTCATCAGATCTGAAAAGTCCGTCCGACAGTCCAAGACTTTGGACATGGTCGGCCTCATCAGGTCTGAAAAGTCCGTCCGACAGTCCAAGACTTTTGGACATGGTCGGCCTCATCAGATCTGAAAAGTCCGTCCGACAGTCCAAGACTTTGGACATGGTCGGCCTCATCAGGTCTGAAAAGTCCGTCCGACAGTCCAAGACTTTTGGACATGGTCGGCCTCATCAGGTATGAAAAGTCCGTCCGACGGTCCAAGACTATTGGACTGGTATCGTACCGTACTGTACACAGTGTACAGCTTCGATATCAAGCAAGTATGTCCGTATGCATACTGTAACAGCTGTCTAGAACCATACTGTAGCACTGTACTGTGAGTAAAATCACCAAATACACAGCGGAGAGGAACTAGCTTCAACCGTTGGATTGCGCATGATCAAATCTTTTCGCAGAACGCGTGTTCGCCCTTTCTTGCTCATTCCTTGGAAGCAAGTGGAGTCCATTGGCAAGGTAGCGACATTCAATGTCTTCAATTTTGATTTTAATCCCTTTCTAGCCTAATAATTCAGCAGTGAATTGATCATGGATTGTGTTTATAGACTATTTTACTTTTTGATAAGTTTGTTAACGTGTCCATTGGATGGAAATCATGTTATTTTAAATTCATCATCCATGGTGATTCCACTGCTACCATAGTGAACTCAAGTGGAGTTTTTCTATTATAATGGAATCGTCCATTTCAAAGGGAATACTTTACTTAATGCTTGTAGTAGAATGTTAGGAGACAGCAGGAACAAAGAAAAGTGAATTGAGTGATGTTATTTTTTTGTCCAGGCGAGCTAGAACTCGCCATTTCTTGTTAGAGATGATTTCTGATATTTTTTTTGCAAGTCAGTCGTCTTTCGTAGAGTAGATTGTATGGTTGACTACTGTACACTGTACAGTATAGTGGTGTATTCAGTAGCGTAGCAACATCAATTCCATAGAGAGGATAGCTTGTTATCCAACTAGGCTGATTCTTTCTTCCTTGAATGCTATATAGGAGAAAAGGAATTCGCCATGCAGATTTTTGTTAAGACTTTAACTGGAAAGACCATCACGCTAGAGGTCGAACCTAGCGATACCATTGAAAATGTAAAATCCAAAATTCAGGATAAAGAAGGTACGCCATGACAGTGTCGTTTTATAGTCGATGAAGTAAACCGGTTATTGTACTGTAAGGCATCGATCCATCGTACAGGATTTGTAGTTTGGATGTAATCGTCGACAAATGGCCATCATTCTGTATTAACCTTATCCTTACTATACTATTTGGCATTAGTAGCTAATGATAAAATGGATCATTTTGTCCAATTCTGTTATTGGTCGTGTTCTTCAGCCTCTTGTACTTGACTCATGGTTGTTGTAGCTGTCATGAGAGCAATCATGGTTGATTATTAGGAAACTGTCAACTACTGTATGATTATAGCTTATACTAGCAAAAGGATGATCAATCATCGTATGTTATTCGTACCTTATTACTTTACTGATGACTGTTGATCGTAAATAAGTGCTGCTGACATGGTTACGTTGCATTACCTACTTTAGTACACTAATCTCCAATCTGATAATCATTGCAGCTCGTAAGGATTAGCGTTTTCTTATTGATTCGTTTATGTACATGAGATTTTCAAGTAACCACACTCGTCGCAATCACATTAGAAGCAATATTGGATAGTTTACAACCCCTAATATCTTCTCAGTTATCGACAGTACACGATCGATGAGAGATGATTACTTGTAACGAGACAGTATGGTTGGGAATATATACTTTTACCATTCTAAAGGCTATTCGAATTTTTCGCTTCAGGTATCCCACCAGATCAGCAACGGTTGATCTTTGCTGGTAAGCAATTGGAAGATGGAAGAACCCTATCCGATTACAACATCCAGAAAGGTAAATATCTTATGGCAGTCATACGTAACGTATCGTTGGTACTTGTCGCTGCTGTCAATTCAAGATTTATATAACATGGTAATATTCTTTGTTTATTTTAGAATCAACTCTTCACTTGGTACTTCGATTACGTGGTGGCGTTATTGAACCTAGCTTGAGAATTCTTGCCCAAAAATACAACTGTGACAAGATGATCTGCCGCAAGTAAGTACGATGCAGCGACAGTAACTCAACTTTATTGATAGCTTAATGCGATCTATCTACATATATTGGTATCTTCTTTTACAAGTACATGAATCGATAAATATTAGATGTAGAACTTCTTGTCATTGACGACACAACTACAGTGACTCAATTTTACTGATAGCTTAATGCGATCGACGTACCCATATTGGTACCTTCTCCAAGTACATTAGTCGATAAATATTAAATTTAGAACTTCTCGTCATTGACCCGGCGGTATAATAACTGTCCTTCAAAACCGTATAGATAGGATTACAAGGACTAACCGCGAATCTTGTTTATTTGTTGCAATAATTTAGATGTTACGCTCGCTTGCATCCTCGTGCTAAAAACTGCCGAAAGAGAAAGTGTGGCCATTGTAGCAATCTACGTCCCAAGAAGAAGTTGAAGTAAAGGAGTGGATTCATCTTTTGTCGTTGTAAAGCTGTCACTGTCAAAAGATATCTCTCCAATGTTGTAATATCAATAAAACTCTTGTTCAATTAAAACTTGTGTTTCGCGAATGTTGTGTACTGACATTTCTTCGGGTGTATGAGCTACAGTAATTAATTATTTATGCGCACTTTCAGTAGTTTAATTGAAGATGATTAATTCAAGTTCCTTATTGCATCAATGTAGTTTCTGACTTTGCACAGTATGCATGAGGTATCTTTATTGAGAGCTATTGAAATATGAAGTTGAAATGCCCCTGTTGCTGCCGAGATGTTTTTCTCGTTAAAGATATTGAACAAGCCAATAGTGCAGGTAGTTAATACCTACTTATTGGCGTAGATATGCATATCACGCACATATAAAAGATCATCCATTTATAACTATATGATTCAACATCAGTCATAATTATACAGTATTTTACTTCCCGGTAACTACAGCTTTGGAGCTAGAGTTGAAATTAAACTTTAAAAATACAAGAGTAGCATTAGTAATAACATTAAATTAAGTTCATTACAGTATTTTATTTCGCCATGGCAACAGCTCTGAAGGGAGTCAAAAAAATAAGATTAAAATAAAAAAGTAGAGCTTCATGTCTACTGTAACAAAAATACAGCACTAGTCATTGGTACATTGATGCCCTTGAATTAAATCCAAAATGTAAGATCGCAAGACAGAAATTGAGTCATCTCCAAGGTGTACTAGTTATTGATTCGTGGTATAGTATTTATAAGCATATTTATTCTTTGGTTTAGTATACAATGTCAAAATTATAGCCTAACGATAGCAATGGCTTACACTCTAGCATTAGCTTGTCATCTTAATTTAATTAGGTGAACGTAGCTTCAAGCTACCAATCAAGATATTAATAACGAAATTAGTAATGCATCCGATATAGTGGACTGCGAATTTTGCGTATAAGCCAGGTATCAATATTGCACTATAGCAGCACTAATTGTAAAGCAGAAAGGAATTTCAACGCTCAATCCCTGAATATCTTCTTCAGCTAAGCTACTGATGGCTGCAATCATTCTTTATTATTTCTCTCTAGCATTCGTAAAATAGCTTCTCCAATATATCTTGCATGTATTTTGTGAATATAATGGCCTCCCGTTTTGAATACAATCTGTCGAAATGGATTGGTTTTAATATCATACAGTACGGAATTGTTTTCTTGAGAGTCTAGATAGTTATTTTGAAAAGAGAGTATATAAGGTAGCAGCAATAAGTTATAGGTCGATAGATTGAAGAAATCATTTTAGCGATAATCTACGTATACATATCGAAGTTCATTCGGTAAGAGCACTTTAAAATAATTGGCCAAAATAGTGTACAAAAGACATGAACAGATACTTGTACCTGGTTCTATACTTTCCGTGGCCATTTCCTTCAAGGTCTTTAATCCAAGGGCTTGGCAATTTTCATTCAAGATTTTGTTCTCTATTAGATGATCATCAATACCGTGAACCAAAAGTACTGGAATCTTGCTGCGACTAATATGTCGTAGATTTTGGTGATGCAGCTGAAAGTCGGCAATACCACACATGCGAACAGTATTAGGCATTTCGTCTTTGCTTAATTTATTGACATTAAAGCCCGAAAGTTGAAAGGCATAACGCAAAATACTGGAGATAGCTGCGCTGGTTATTGATGAAAATTCTAGCATGTAGGCTCCAAATTGAGTTACTGCAATGAAAGAAGAATTGAATTAATGTAGCTGAACGATGACATAGCGTTGATATGCTCTACTTTCTTATTTAAATCATTATTTTCTACACGGAAAGAGATGTTAGATATTCAAATGCTTTACAGTAAATCGTGCCAATGGTTATGATGTCATTGCATTTATGTATATCCAGTATCTTATATAACTTGATAGATTACTATCACAGTTGCATATCTTCAACTACTAAATATATTATACAGCTGCATTTATTAACTATAGTCAAATGGCTAGATAATAAATCTATTTTGTGTCCATTTCAATGCTTTGATACTGTTTAATATATCAGATAGAGATATAATCTTAGTTTATAGCTTAACATTTCATCTTTTAGCTTTGACTGAGACATTACAGAGAAATTAAATGATTCTTTACTTTAACCATTTTTCTAATAGAAGAGAAATTTTACGGATGGACAGCAACTAGTTCATAATATATAATTCGCGGCCGGAGAGCCATTACGGTAGCTTTAAGCATATCATTTTACGCGTACAATTTGATAAACTACCATCACGAGCTGCATCTTAAAGCAAGAACATGATGGTGTTGTGTACAGTATAGTAACTAGAACTTATAAGATTTAAATATTATATACCGTTGGATATAATAGATAGAGATATTACTGTAAATCTGTCTATCTTTTAAAATTAGCCATCCTTACTAAAATAAGGCCTTAGACCAGCATGCGGTCGGCCACCAACACTCGATAAAAGTCCATAGGATAAGACTAAATTGGGTTGAACAGTTGATAAAGAGGTTACGATGGAGCAGCCAAAACTAATTCCAACTGCCATGTTGATTTTTGTAACCCCGATATTATCTAAAAATGCAGCTACAAACTTAGCCAAATTGTGAGCACTATAGATAAATTCAGGAGGTTTTTCAGACGATCCAAATCCAGGCATATTAAGCCGAATAACGCGAACACCGGCTGGAACTAGTACAGAAGAAATATAACGAAAATCCAAATGGCTACCTACATTGAAATATTATAAAGTTAGAATAGATGAAGAGAAATTAAAAGCTAATGGTAATTTATCGTACTATCTTACTCTACCTAATTCATTTATTACGACATACAGAATATAAAAGTTTTGTAGCGCTTATAGATATCAATAAAAAGATATTTGACTATTTAATAATTACTAATCAGACAGTACATGATTAATTCATCTCCAATTTGTGGCAATTGATTAACATTTTACAACACTAGATAGAGCACTACACAGCCTAACAGGGTGCTTTTACATGACTGACGTACATTATTGCCTACTTTCGTCGTGTAAATGGCGATATTGAAGATACTTCTTCGTCAAAGTAGAGATCCTCCTTCTTTACTGCATTTTGCCTACGTTTTATAATACTAGCTATAGCACTATACAGGATGAAATCAACATGCCTAATGTGTATTATTGCCTACTTTCGTTGTGCTGAAGGTGATGTTGAGAATATTTCTTCGTCAAAAGGTAACTGATGCTTCTTTCTTTACACACTAGATATACTACTACTCAATCTATCAGGATAAATTAACAAACCTTATGTACATTATTGCCTACTTTTTTGTGCTAAAGGTGATTTTGAGAATATTTTTTGGGCATAAAGCAACCAATACTCCTTTCTTTACCGTAATTTGCTAACAGCCCTGCAACGTTAGTGCCGCAGATCGACTGATCAATGGACTCATGCATCTAGATTATATGTACTGTACTTTCTATCCAATGGTTTATCTTCAGAAATGCTCAACACTACAATAAGGGAATGTTTGTATGATAATAAAAGTAAAATGTCATTATTGAAGTTATTTGAAGTGGATTCGATGTAATGAAGGGGATGCAAGATAAACATTAACGTAGGAAGAAAGTTATACTGCTAGTAAATCGAATTGATTACCTGGGCAGCCATGGACTACCAATGTCACTAATGGCGATGTGCTATTTTCATCGGTGTAACTCACATTAAAATGATTCGTACTCGTTAGCCCTAAATACTTTCCTGGAACATTGGTAAATAGGAGCTCGGGATCGGAAGGCGTTAATAATTCTTGGTTAAATTTACTTGCCTGATGCAGTGATGATTTGATAATTGTTATATGAGGATGGAGACTCTTCGCAAACGGCATGGTAGCTGCATTATGACAATAGTAAATTGTAGATCTACGTGATATCACTCTAGCAATAGGTAACCAAGCCATCTTTGGTTCTATTTCAGACTAGTAATTCTTGGATAATAATTAATGTCAGTCTATCAAAAAACTCTAAATATCTTTGGTTGAAAGCTTTAAAAACCAGATAGCAGTCACGACAAGTCATTTATTTTCATTGAAATAGCTAGAGAGCAAAAGCGACGACAGAATCATAGTATTGGCTTATAGATACTCGTCATCATAATCATCTGTCGTGATGGAAGTAATTGAATAACGATGGCAATGCTGGCAATGGATCAATAGTAAGAATCAACCCAAACTTGACTTCAATATGGTCACCACTATCCAGGCAGTTGGTCGGCATTGACTGCGTTAACAGGATGGTGCTTGCGGTAATTGGATTGTTTACCTTTATTAATTATTTGCAGCAATGGAAATTAGTACAAAATTACTCTGTCCTAGCTTCACGAATAGCCAATAATACTGTCAGAACTAGCTAAAATTAAAGATAGATTGAAACATCGAGTGCTACTATCGGGATAATAATGTCATTTGTTAGGTACTATTTCATGCTGAAAGCGGATAATTTTGCAGTTAGAAAGAGTTTCTCCGACGTATAAATAGCAATTACAAGATGGAGAAAGTGGGAAAGTTCTTATTTGCTACCAATCACTCCTTTCAAAGTTGATAGATGGTCAAGCTAGTCTTAAAAGATGTCGATATTGTCTCTGTTGAGCCAGTAATAGCCTTATTAGTTTAATATGGCCTATCTTGCTGGGATAGATAGTTTACAATATCAACGAATCACTTTAATGGTATCCAATTCGACAGAAAGTTTATAAACAGACCTTGTAACTGAATTCTCTAATTCAAGGAATACCGGACGGACAAGTTGTTGACAAAGAATCAAATATTAGCAGTCCATTCTATTCTGAATAGCAGACAAGCTGTTATACATCGAAGAGGATACTACCTTAAATGGCCTAGCGCTTGATAGAGTAACGTAAGTGGAAATAGTTTTCTCAGCAAATTGAACCATTTTAAACTTAGATCTGTAACACTACTTCAAACACTATGAAAGAATTCAAATTGCCATTCATTGATACCATCGATTTGTTGTAGGTCCAACTGCTTTCATCATTTGGCTCGATTTACGATTGATTCTTCTTCATAAAGACTGGATATCTTAATCGCTGGTTGATAACGATTATCCGTTAACTTATTGTTTGTGTTATCTTGCTAAACCGTTAATGACACCGATCCAAGGGATGGCGATCCGAGAACGACTTCAACAACCCATAGCGACCATTATGAGTTATAATCCTTGCGATAAAGGTAAGCTGTAGCGTTTACCAGGTTAATACTGGATGATGAAGTCAAGTAGAAAGGAAGGTGATGAGCATTGTAGGGTGAGAGAGTGATATCATCATTAAAATAGATCGCCAGTAGAAGTGAACGATAGGAATCATAGGATGTTACCCATTATCTGCTATCCCTACTCTTGTCATTTTAAAAATTCCATTAGGATAGTATAGTGGCATGATAGTATAAGCCATATCACATATACAAGAAAGGACCACTAAAACTGAAAGCCACTCGTTTGTTTCGCACAATTATAAGACCAGATTTCGTTTATTAGTATCATTTGATCAGCCACAGTACCTGCTCTAATCATTTTAAGCAATTAGGATAAGGCAGTGGCATGATAGAATAAGTCATGTTACGTATGCAATAAAGGATCAATAAAATTGCAAAACCACTCAATTTACTTTCGCTTAAGGCCATATTTCGTCTTTCAATATCATTTTATCCTGAGTAATGAGTAGATGATGACGAAAGGCAACGACGACAACATTGAATAGCTGTCAAAGTTTAGAGTGGAACGATCGCCGTTGCACAAAACTAGCTTTCACTGTGATCTAGACTTGGTCATTTCAATATGATTTTACCACTACGTACAGTATTTCGCTAGATAGGATAGCGCCTGGTTGAATACTGTAAGAAAAGGAATAAATCAAGATCGTATTTGTATAAAATGGATTAAGACAATTGTTATCGCATAAAACAAACTTTTCCTTGCCATTTGATAGAGTCATCTTGAAACGAGATATTGGCATTCGTCGTGAGCTAAATACAACAACGATAAATTGAATTGAACATCAAAATTAATTAGTAATAAAGATTGTTGACCACGACGATCGTTGTTACACAAAGTTTACTTATGCCTATCTCTAGATTCGATCAATCTCTCCAATGCGATCGATGTTTCCATTCTTAGAGAGTCTATCGCTAGATAGAGCAACGTTAGGTTGAATACTACAAGAGAATCATGATCGTATTTGCACTAAATAAATTAGAACGGTTATTGTTGTATAAAACATACTTTCTTCGGGAAATTACCTTGAGTCATCTTTAAACGAGATACTGGCATTCATCGATAGCATCGATTGCTAGATAGAGTAATGACAGATTGAATTGAACAGTGGCATTAAATAATACCCGGAAATAATGATTTTGACCATAACGATCGCTATTGCATATTGTCTCCTTACGAAAACCTCCTTTCGCATATCATTAGATGGAATAACAGTGGTTTGAGCTCATCTAAATTCGATCATTTTAATGCGATTTTACTATTCGTATCATTCTATTGCTAGGCAGAATAACATTAGATTTAATACTACAGAAAAGTGGAAAGTAAAGATCGTATCTGCATAAGTTTCCTTTCATCTACGGCTGGACTTGATAATAACTATGATTTTCTCAATTGTATAAAGTAAAGTATATTGATAGTTGTCATCAGAGTAAGTTTAATGTTAAAAGGAGTTGTTAGTCAAGGTTATACTTTTCATGAGACTAGCCTAATCAAATCTTTGATCATTTTAATTTACACTTTGAATCTTTTCTTCTACCATTTTATCTTTCATAAACAGCAGATAGCGAGATAGAATAATATTCAATTCAATACATTTAAAATCTGTCATTACAAGGACTGCCGTCTCAACATGTTCTCTCCATAACTCAACACGACTGAATATTAAATCGTTCGTAATAACATTTTACAAATAAAGAAATGGATACCTCCATAATGGAACTAATAACTTCAATTTTTGAGACAACGATACTATTTTTCGCTACTTGTACTTACTTTAGATCGCGCTAGATCCATTAATTAAAATAATATCATTATTCCTCGTAGGCTGAATTTCTTATTAAAATATGGGTATTTATGTTTTGTTGATTTGAAAAATTATAGTCGATACCTATCAAAGCAAAGGATTATGGAGACTATTTATTAATGAAGATGAACTAGTTTGTGAAATTTTAGCAACATGTTCACGCTTGGAAGTTCTATGCCTAGCTGAAATTAAGGTTTATATCGTACTCTATTCTTACCGTATGCCTATCTATTTTAAAAAAATATTAAATAAAGCCGGAATTTTTTACAGATGATTCGACTAACTGATCAACGATGCTTATTTCATTCTATTTTTTAGCAGCTTTATTTTCATAGATTTATTGGTATTAACTGATAAAATTAAAATTTAAATCAGTTATGTAGTATTAAGCAGATATAATTTAGCTCTTTTGCTCTTTCCTTTCATCGTGATTTCGTCTTATTTTTACGTATATTTTCGTCAATAAGCAGTTAATTTTGTCGATGTAAATATGATGCGATAGCTTCCATAGCAATGGATAGACGTGTATGGGCATGGATGTACAAAAAATTATTCAACTTGACACCCTATCATCATTTAAGAGATTACAATTTAGCCGCTGACTGTCCTTAAAAGATTGCTATTATTTCATTCTATAGGTGATGCAGTTAGCTAAGCAACAAAATTCCATTTTGAAGCGATCCTTTACCACCACTTTTGATTCAAAGGGTAAGCAGAAAAGAAGACAAAAACATAATGCCAAAAGACATCATCAATATCCATCAAAAAAGGATAAATTTCGGATTAAAGTTTATCAACTAGAAAATCAGAAGCATAGTGCTTAGTATAGACTTCAATCACTTCTCATAGTGATTGGATCATCCTATTTGATCGTAAATATATCTTCAGTTTATATCAGAATCATCATTCTTTTAATCCTAAAATTTATAAAATTACAACTCAATAGACAGTTTGATGGATTTTATTAGTAGATACTCGTATACAGTAGCAGATATTCTGTAGAGCTGATTAAATTTTTTAAGTTAATTAAATTAAGGCCTTCTCTATGATATGCTCTTGGGATGTAGGTTATTGCTTGATAAATTTAAATTACAATAATATATAAAAATGTTTTTATCAATACTACTAATTAAACTACAAGGCACAAAAAAATTTGCACGGGCCCCGTGCAAACCCTACGGGGCAGTAGGACATTAACTGTTGCTCGTAATAGGCGTTATATTAAGCCTGTTAGCTCTAGAATTAAACGTACGGATATGCCCTTTGACTTTCTTTATTTAAAATCTTTTGCCAACTGAATTATTAGAGCATTTAGCCAAGTCTAGAGTCCAAATCTATTTCAAATACTTCAAGTGTATGAATTAGATTAACATGAAAGTCTATCCAATTGTGACTTAACGATCCCATAATATTCATTCAACAACAATCAATTTTCTATGTCCATACTGTACAATATACAACTCCTACAATCTTCTTTGCCAATAACTATCAAACGTTATATCATATTTGAAAATGTCCTAAGCTAAGCTCTATAATCATTTCCTAGAGCTTAGATACTCTTTCTATAGTCTAATAATCGTAAAGAATGGTTAAATTATCCTAGTTTAGAATTATTTAAGCGACAAAAATTTACAGATCTATCGATATTAATAACTTTGTAATTGCTTTCCAGCCTACTTATTTTTAAATGAAATGCATCGATATTTTAACTACATCTCGGATAAAGAAGATATTTCATTACCTGTATGTGAGCTATAAAGTATTTAATATTACCCTAAATTTATTTTTAAAATTCTCAACTGCTAATGCTACGTATGCAACTTGATTTAAACTTATTATAGGTGTATTTAAGGACATTAGGAGTCGATATGCTTTTTCCTCATGCTCTTCTATTTATTGATAATCCCAATAAATTACTTACCGTCGAGATGAATCAAAGTTCGCCCATGACAGGTACCTTAATATGTATTTTAAATCGACTTTGCGATGTAACTATCTGGATACATATTTCTCTATATTATCTATACAATTAAATTTATCTATCTAAAATTTGAATCAATCTAGGATACTTTGACCAGTTGGCTAACTTGAATCATATCTTGACCATTAGCAATACTTTACGCGATAAAATTGATGAAGAACCTTTCCATAAATATATAGCTCATCAATTGGCTTTGCTATACGTATGTAGGAATGATACTTTGTAGCAACTTTAACATTATTTCTCTTAATTAAGGCAATCAATTTGTTCCCTTAGCGCGCTGTAGACCATCTTGGGTCACGTAAAAAACAGTATAAACAAATTATCCTGGAAAGATTTGAAGAAATTAAACAAGCATGCCAAAATGTTAATCAAGATTCATCATCTACTTTAACACCAGAAATGAAGTCATGGTTAGCCCATAAACTTATTTATTCATTGCATTGTAAAATGATTCCTTGTGATTTCCTTAGCGTTACACGTTTTGCTGTTGCAGTATAGTCACATTATACTACTGCTAATGAACACACATGCAAATTAATTCTATTAGCATGACTAATTGATTAATACGATCAGATTACTTCATATACCGATACTGAATTAATTCTGTTGTTCTTGTTCATTTTTAGGATTGTTGACTTAACAACTTCAATAACTGATACTATAAGGACTTTACCCCATGATATTACAGATAAAATGCAGCCATTTATTAATTTTTATCTAAAATATAACAATTACTAAGTATTCAATTTCTGCCATACCTTAAGAAGAATACCCATGACTCTCTCGTGCGATAGTAAATGAATTATATATCTATATCGACATGAGATTTGTGTTATCTTACAAAGATTACTCGTATACGTTTAATTATTCTGATATAGAAGAACTGTTGCGTTTCTTTTCGATTCCTGAACCGCCCATTAGGAACTATTGTAACAAAATGAGAATATTACGAATGGCAGATCTTAAAAAAATGCAATACTAGTGGAATAGTTTCGACGCTGAAGAGGAAAATCCAGCAGTTAAATAATAGTTGACAATTAAGAAATACAAGCATTTATTACTATTTATCAACAGCGATTAAAGATGCTTATCCTTTATTCCATCAATTAATCAATATATAATAAAATTGGTTAATACTACAGTTGATTATTTCTTACTCTTTATCGATGAGGAAAGCTGCTGTAGCACATCAAGTTTTCCATGGTTTTGACTGAGAATACCTCATTTTCATATTGAAAGGTGGTTGAAATTAAATCCTTTTGTAAAATTTGTAGCTAAAGTAAATAATAAGAATGTGATGGGGTATCGTAATGACTAAAAAATGTAGTTTATCACTTTATACGACTGGTAGACTAGATGCGAAGAGTCATGTACTCCAATTAGCCGATTTTTTTTAACTACAAGCCATAAAAATACTTTAAAACCGACCACCGTAATAAAGAATAATAAAAACTTCCCTAACCACTAGTCAAGTCGATGTAAAATAACTATTTTTTATTCAAATGCAGATTCATAAAATTGGAATAATGAAAATAGAATAGAAAAAATGGTAATATTAATGATGATATAAAAATAATAATAATTAAAAATGTCTATTTCAAATATAGCGGTAAATTGACACATCTCTCTGCATTGTTGGATCCATAGAAGTGATCAGATCTTGATAAAATTTAAATATCTATATAAAAGCTTTGGTAGATAGCTAAAGAAATTTCACAAAGCTTATTGTCTGCATAGCAGGATTAATAATCGGCGCTAAAATGCCAATAATTGTAATCAGTCCAAAATGAATTAATCAAATTCAGTTTCTTAAATAGTGTTATTGTGATAATCATTTTGAAGGTAAAAGCTTACAATAATGCCATAAGAAATATTTTATACATTTTTTAAGGGTAAAATTATCCAAGAATGTATCGTACCGTAGATATAGCGGAGAATCTCAATATTCCTAGTCAGGCTGTAACAAAATGCATGCCACTATACATTAATGGCCAGAAAAATGCCGTAACATACGAAATATAAAATTATAAACATCCAAAGATTGTTATACAGATTTACAAAGTATGAGAGATGCATACATCAATGGTAATACAGGTAATTGTATGTGGTGCAATCATACTGCAACACTGAACATTTCATAATTAAGTTTTGGCAATAAAACGCATATAATAATTAATTCAAATTTGTCGATGATGAACAAATTTTATGATTGATAATATTTGAATCAAGTATTTTAGTAAAAGTAATTCCTATTCATTTGATCGAAATTGCAATACTATTAGCACGTCCAGCTTTATATGATCCGTTTAATTTCGTAGAATAGAGATAATTTCTTGGATTGTTGTACAGATACGTAAAACGTCCCTTTCGTTCATAATATCTCCGACAGAACATAACCGATGCTATCCGAAGATAAATAACGTTAGAGCTATAGGTTCGGAAATATAATATCTATATGGAACGTAACCTGATTAATGATATACCCACCTTTGGCATTCCGAAAACACTACAAACGTCAATAAAGGCACTGACATTTTGAAATTTTTTCGCCTGGCTTATTTCCGGCTAGGGAGTAAAAACCATCAATATTATAAATAACAAAATTAAATAAATGAACTCTTATTTATAAAAGCAGCATGATATATACGTCTCATAAGCATCACACAGGTACCTGATCGACTGAGGGTTCATGTACTCTGCCGATCGTTCTTGGTCTTAAGGCATTAACAAGATAGCAGAGGAGTATACCATCTGACAGAGCTGACAATAGATTTTGGCTGACATTTGTTTGCAGAATATTTTCCATTAACTACAAAGAAATGTTATATAAAATTTGTCAATGATTTCTAGCAGAAATATACTGTATACTTGTTAAAAATTAACCTTTATGACATAGTTATAATAAGAAACTGCTTACTTGTCTAGTGTACTCAATTTGATCAACTTCAGGTCTGGATACTACTCGCCAGCGAGCATCTGCGCCGCTATTAGGTCCAGGAGATTTTGTTGGCGACCCGATTTGGCTTCTAGTCCGAGTATTAATAGTTAAAGACTGCGGCCGATTCACAGGTCCAGGAGATAGTTGTTCCTCCTACGAATGATTGACAATGATACCAAAACACATTGGAAGTGTATCAGTTAGATCTAAGATTAGGCAACCCAATGATATGTCATCATTACGTATTTACAAAAATGGATCTTATGGAAGTTTTCATTTCTGTAACTTTACGCTACATTAAGTTATCTTAGATAAAATAAATAACGAAAATTAAACATTGAGATTCTACCTGATAACCCAAATCATTTATCATTTCTTGGCTGGTATTATGCTATTCAATAAACAGTAAGTCATTACGAAGATATCGCAGCTAATATTAACATTTATCAGATAGTCTAATTGCAGTATTGACAGGTAATTAACTTACTCGTTCGAGGTTTTGATCACTGCCTAGCTCCTGGGAACTATATCTTCTATTAGGTATCTCCATCTCTTCATCGTAAACTTCATGATATGACGCCGCTCTCCGAGGATTCTGAATCTAAGGTGAAACAGGTATATCACCAGTTGTAAGTTAATTTGTTAGATAATTTTTATAAGGTTCATCAGTTCATGTTATATAGCTACTTACGGTGTCTTCATCATAATCTGGGTCGCTGAATAAGATTAAAATGATTTTTAAAATAGTCAGCAAACATTCAGATTAATAACCAATTTTATGCAAAGTATCTTCGAAAGTACTTTTACTTACTCAATTGATATTATCTCCTCATCATTGTATCCAATAGAATTTGATCTATCGTTCTCGGAGGAATAACTATCACTTGGCTTGGAAGATGTTGGCGATCTATTTTAGTGAATGAGAAAAGCTCTTAATATAAATTAGGTATGGCTTGACTTTGAATAATAATATCAATTGATCGTACAACTTAAAATTTTAACGCTGTAGTGAATCACGTACAAGTTGATAGATTCAGAACGTTGCCGTAAAATCATTTCATGTTGTTGTTGCTGAAGTTTTTTAGCCATTCGCCTTCTTTCCTCCCTAATCAGGTCGTTATCGAATAATCTCAAGCTTTCGTTACTGGCAAACCGTCTGATATGCGCTTTTTGTTTAATGGCTGGCGTTCTCCGTAATCTTGGTGGAGGTTGTAAAGACACATTTCTCTGAACAGTTGCAATTTCTTCAGCATCTAAATTTGCTTCATTTTTACCGTTTGTTAGCTGTATTTCGAAAATCAAGTTTAAAAAGGAGGTAGGATTACTTAAAATCAATAAATAACCTGTAGTTTAATTTCTACATAATATAGTTTTTCAATTTTCGAAATATCATCAATATAAGTTCTCTTCAACATTGAAATGTCTTATCTGAATGGAGAAAATTATACTCACAGTCGACGAATCATATTCCTCATCGTAGATGTCACTATCTTCGTAATCCAATTCTTGTTCGGTTGCACTCATGCGCGGACTACGATCTTGGGAGCCTTGGGGTAATGGCATTGCCATATTATTTACATCTGTCGTTTGATTAGCGTCTGATTCCATATTTTCCATAACGCGATTTTTGGCTATTGTAGCATTAGATAGGCGCAAGCTTGACCTTCTACGGGTAGGTTTAGGAGGGGTTGGAGTAGATCTACTTCTGCTTCGATTACCAGAAGGTTCAGAATAAAGTCTAACAGGTCTCTTTGAGGGGAGTGGAGATTCCTTTGGTGAATCTGTTGTTCGCTGATAGTCAAAGTTATCAATACTGTGAGTTCGTACTACTACTCCGCCTTTGTTTTGCATTGCAGCAGTTGTATGCCTATCATTTTGTCTGAATTTCATTCCCGATATAGATAGCTGTGCATGTTCCTCTCTCAACGTCGGTAATTGAGAGGCATCAGACGTTAAGCTAGAAGATTGAGTGGAAGAAGTGGTATCGATGGTTGCTATAGAAGAAAGGCTTAGTTCTGATACCGTATCATCTTCCTAAAGTGTTGTATCATAGCGTTCAAAAGAAAATTTGATACAATCTTTTAAAACATGTCGGCTTATGTCAAAGTGTCAAACTATGCTAACAGAAATTAAGGCCAAAGTGATATACGAAGTTAAAGGCTATTTGTTCTTTTTCTTAGACAGGATGACATACCTTATGATTTGTTGGGGTTACTCTAAATTATTTATTTGTAAGAATAAAACATTAATATATTTTAAATTGGGAAGATTAAATTTATATATTATGTTCACTTAATATGCGTACATATGAGTTTTAGAGCCGCCATTGGCGTGCCACAGTTTTTTGTTTCTGTTGCCATTCTGTAGTAATAAAGAATGTATAAACTGAGCATGATCAATTTTTTTTGCAGCGCGAGAAAGACATAGGAATATATAAACAGTTGTATTAATTATAGTTTTAGATCAGAAGTTACACTGCAAGTAATGCATATTACAGCATTTAGTTAATTCACTCAGAAAAAGAAATATCTGACAAGCATCGTACATCAACAAGAATGATTAACATGCTTACATTTGCGTCAATCGTGGATAAATACTTGAAAATGTGTAATCGGCCTAAACTACATATCTTGTATAAAAAGAATGATCATATTAATTCAGGTTGATAAAGGAAAAATATAGGTATCATGAAGTTCTAGCCATAATAATAAAGAAAATTGGTCATGTTCTAACCTTTGATGGAGGTGAAACCAATGGATTATTGAAGACAATAAGTACGTCCAAAGTTGCAATACGACAAAGTGATGGAGGTAAGTACGAAATTTGATTGAAGGAAATATCCAATTTTGTTAATCTCAGAAGACCAAGTTCTAAAGGAATTGTTATGTAATGGGTCAATATTTCTAAGTTTATTGATGTACAGTATTAAATTTCACTAAAGCAAGTAATATAGACCAGATAATATAGTACATTAGACTGTTATATGCAACCATAATAAATTAATGGTGCAGTAATATGGTTTACAATTTATGATCATACCGGTAGGTAATTGCGTAAGTGAATTATGTCTGACATTAATTTCTCGTAATCTTTTCAGTTCAACAGTTACATCAGGCAATGAAGACAAAGCATTATAACTTAAATCCTAAAATATATAAATAAAACCATAGTTAGTTAAGCTACACAATAATTATGGCAATTTCCTTACAAAAGCAGATAATTCATGAATATAAGTCATTTTATAAAATAGTACATGTATAGTCTGCTTAGGTTGCTACAATATCATACTTTTATTGTTTAAAACAGAAATTATCGCATATTAGGATGACTACGCTACATGACTGAGGATAAACCAGACAGTTGATGAAGATTAATCATTATACAGGGTTATTAGACATATTGTAGAAGATGTTACAACAAGAAACTGATTGAGCTAACGTCTTATTACTTTTATGGTATGAATGAAGACAATCGTAGTAAAATAGTCATTAATGCTCGCAAGTTAAGTTACGGTAACCCAAAGTATGATTTCCATCCTGCATAATGAGCAGTTGTTAAAATATAACTGAAAGAATCGCATACAATATTAGACTTACAAGATCTTGTAAGGCTTGTAACATAGACAATTCAGTAGAGAGTGAGGAGATTTTGTTATGGCTAACATTTAAAATTGATATCGGCAGTTGGCCTAAACCAGGTGGTAATGACGTTAACTTGTTATAGCTAGAAAGTAAAATCGAATCGAACCAAAGAGAACAATATCAAGCCGTGCAGAGTATATTATTAAAAAGAAACAATTCAACATATTAGGTATGTTTAGCTTAAAATTTAGTGGATATGATTAGCGACATAGAAACTAAACTGATTTTCTGAATTTTAAGAAAAGAGTCAAAATATGGTATTTACAGTTCATAATTTTACCCCAGACAGATTGTTTATTTGATGGCATTAATTTCTTGAAATATGTAACTTACCTCAGATCTAATACAGTTAGACATTTTAGGAGATGAATATCATTGACGGCTTTAATAGAGTTATGTGAACAATTCAACTTTTGTATATAGTCACCAGAGTTCATCAACCAATCGATTTGTGTGAATCGATTCCGGCTAAGATCTATCAAGACAAAACATACATCTGTTTATAATCGAGATACGGCAAATAAAGTTATAAATCATGATAATTGAAAGAAATATCACGCTATTATACAGTTAATGAAAATATGTAATATTAATTGATATTAAGGGTATTATTAGTGAAGTATTACATATCTATTAATGTTCGAATGTTGATTCGTTTTCGTGGCAGGTGTTGTCTATTATATGGCATAATGTAGATTTAGTGAAAACTGATTTGTGATGCTGCAGTAAGATTAGCATTGTACAGTGTGATATTTTCTTCAGTAGACTGCGTAGAAGTAAAAGATAAAAAGAGCCACAGTCCTTGATGATAATAAACCGTACTGAAAAATGTCCTGCAGTAATTTGGGCAATTAATCCATATATTTGGTAAAGATTTATCAAGTCTGCATAATCTCTTAAATTCCATTTTGCAAGCATCATTTCGATAGCATTTCACAGTGTTTACAGCGTAACTATGATATTGACATCCTTTAGAGTTGACAATGTTAAGCATGGTGGATTCTGTATTTGAAACATGCATTTTAGTTCAAATTTAAATTAGTATTTATTATTTTTATACGAATATGCCAAAGTAGTCAAGTGTAGACGTATATAATATGTATTTTATATATACGTGTATCAGTTTTGCGCTTATCAAAATTTCTCATTATGTTAAAGTAGTACAGCTTTACATGACTTTATTTACGCTTGCATCAACCCAGGTATAAAAGTTAAAATTAATATTATTATTTGGGAGAGTTGAAAAAGTAAAGTCCATAGTTTAACATCTTTCTTATACGTTCCAAAACATTTATATCACTGACAATAACATAAAAAAGTTAGCGATTTTATCAGAAACAATCATGAGAAGATATTTATTGCAATTTTTTCCTTTTATTTTGCAGGTAATATTAGTGTTGTGAAATTGTAAAGCATCACAGAATAATATCGCAAGATTGTGGGAGGCTCGATTTTAGTTTATAGAATATTTTTCTCCCTTTGGAATTTGCTGTTTACATACATTTAGCAATGATTACTGCATTCTATTCTATTTGTACACGGTAAATTATGTTGTAGAAAACAGTCAACGTCAATCAAGATGAAGATTCTTGTCTTTTGATTGGGAGAAGTTATTCCCAGCATGACATAAATAAAATAAATTTTAGTTAAAATGAATGCCAACGTAAAATCCACAATGACTAAAATATCACCAGGTTGTAAATCAGTGTTAGGATGAGAAATGATTATCATTCATATTATGTCATCTCGATGGTTAACGAACTGCCCGGATGTGTTTATAATTATAAGAATAACAAGATGGAAAACTTTAAATTTTGGAAGAGACCAATGTAAATTGATAACCTATCAGCAATAAAATGTAAATGCCCTTCGTCTTGCGGTAGCATGTGGAATCTTTCTGGTCTAGTGAGGTGGTACAGCCGCGTACAGTTACGGCCTATTGTACTTCGAACGTACATCAACTATGCCTACAATACTTATAATTTGGTTTGTACTGCAAAAGCAATAAAGACCATCAAGACGATAATGAATTAATTAATTAATAATCGTGAATGCTTGATCAACGTGTTGATAAATATTTATTCACAATGCAAAGCATCTTTTCTCTAATGTACTACTATGCTTTCATTCAATTTGGATTAGCACAGGCTGATTGCAGCAAATAGTTTTCAACAATTCATTAGTATGACAGTTATGTAGGAGAGGAAGTTAAAGTTGAGAGCTCGTCTTGATTTCAAGTAAATACTAAAATATATAAGTGTTACTAGTTAATTAATTATTTACGTATCAATGATGATTATACCGTACAGTGTACAATGTACTCTATAGAGTAGGTGTATTAGTTCATTATTGCACGCGTCCGAGTAGGGTATTATCATGGCACTGTATTATTATACTCCGCTGCGAGTATCAAGAAAGGCTTAGTACTTGGTTGGCAATAAATTTAATTTAAAATCTACTTGTATCTAGGGGAATGAATCGCCAAGGAAAGCAATAAGACTATAATTTTGTAGTAGATGAGTCATGAATTCATTTGCGAATGGCGATTATAACGAGCAGATGACTCATACTTTTAATAAGTACAGTATAACGCGTTCAGTAGCCATTACACGAGACCTTATGGAAAAAGTACTAAAGGTTGTTTATACACAATATTGAATTATACCAAGAACAAGTAGTGCAAGACTATAGTTAGCCGATGACTCACAAGTTTCATAATGTAAAAAAGTTGGTCATTGTCAGGCTTAGGATGATTAATCTGAGTGAGAAAATATTAAAAAGCGTGCGGTAATTCACAAGTGTACATAGTTTAATAAAGTAAAAATGACTCCTGCATAATTTTACATTTAATAAGCAAATAAACTTCATGATGACAATAGGTGTTGCCACGAAAACCTCTTCCAAATCTTTTGTTTTTATTGCTGTTAAGGTCGTTAGACTAGGTTATGATCACTCGCTGTAAACAATTTAGGAAGCGTTCCTGAAATATTCGAATTAATTACTTTTAACACCCATCATTCATAAACGGATACTTTTAATCTAGTGGAAACCTTGAAGCTTATGCGTACAATTTGTTAATAATAGTCAATACGAAAGTATAATGAACGTCCACTGCTGCCGTGAAAGATATATAATCAGAGATTGATTGAAAATTGTCCCTTAAAATTGAAAATAAAATTTATCAAAACAGTTAAAATTCAAGAATCATTACACTCGTTCATCCGATGATACAATTAATCACCGTTAGAAATGGCGTGATTGCAAAGCATAACAGTCTACTAGTAAATATCTCTCTTATACAATGGACCACTAGAAAAGTAAGATAGTTTTCTAATGGTCTTTGCTTATACGTATGAATTTTTTTTTAAATAATACGCAAAATACGAGCTGCAGTAATTAATCATCGATAGCAACAGTCATTGATCGATAGCGAACTGCAGCACCGTATCTAATACGTATTGCTTGTAGCTTAAAATGAGTCAATGAAACTATTGGATATAGTATAGTATGATATGGTGAAAAGTCAAATTTATCGTCAAGAAATTGCTTTGAATTACATTGACAGAGGCGATACTTGGGGGTTGGTACAAGGACAACGCAACATTGTTTTCAAAATAAAATAACATTCAATCATACCCTATCAAATTAAGTTTAAAGTATAAAAGAGAAATCTTTGCATTTGAAAAGCGATACAAGTTTAGCGATGGAGCAAAAACCACTTACGCGTATATATAGAAATTCTAACGTTCACGGTACAATAATTGATAGCCTGCATGTCGTATTTGACAATTTTAATGGTCAAAACAGCACAAACTGGTAGGCTAGATACTGTCCCAGAATAAATGCAAGATGTTGTTACATTAAAGATTGATATACGAAATCGATAGTTACCAGTTAACGATAACACCGAATGAATTTTAAAAATACTGTATTATGTTTCTGTTATCGGATAGATCGTATCAATGAGATTAGGTGTTGGATTCGTTTCTATTTAGCATAAAAGCAGTGACTTTTACTGATGACTTTGACGCCTAGGCTTACGAATTACAGCCATTGGCAAAGGATTGGAGATTATAGCCGATCCTGTATGTACTGCAATTTGATCAGAGTTAATGTTCGATTTAGCAGTATTAAGAGTATGAATATTCGTAAGTCGATGTGTTCACAAAATAGCAAAAAAGGATATTGTGGAACGATTGCATGAACAAACTCAATCGAATCAATCAGATCAGAATACTGGTATAATCAATTTCTTGATCATGATGACCATTTCACTTCCGTTTGTTCATCACGGTATATTACTGTATGAATTTGAAATTGAATGAACATTTAGGCAACTACAATTGATCTAATCCGCTTTCTCTAGATAGTAGTAGCATTGCCAAAGGCCTCTGCAGTGGTACTTTGCCAAGTGTGTTCAAGGTAACTTGCAAATTTTAGCGATTCTATAACATTATAAGAAACCTCTTTGGATCGACTGGTGTCCAAAATATAATTGATCATTCTTGTCGTATTGTTTAATGTCAACGATTGATGAATGTTATAATAGTAAGGAAGTTCAATTTGTGCCGTTTAGGAACCAGGGGAAAACCTGTAGATGCATTATGAAATAGGAAATGATAAACGCTTTTATTGTATTACAGTAATATAATTAATGAAATTTAAGGCGAGCCAATGATTGCAATCAGAAAGAAGATGCCAGGATCGACGAGGTGAAATGTCTCTATTTGATCGTCGAACTTTATATTCAACTACTTGACACAGTGTATCCGTAGATCGTCTAGAGAACGGTTAGATCTAGTCATCATTAGCAATCTTGTCTCTATTTTATTGTGACACAGTATTTTATGTTGGAAATTGTATTTTGAATCTTTTGTATATATAAATTAATTATTCATTGCGATGGGAGGAACCCAAAATAAGCAGGAATTAAAAGGACGATTTGTACAGTACTTGTGCACTATTTGGAGATAAATGACAGTAAATGCTCGTCATCGTCATTCGTTCGTTGATAACTAGAATCAACAATGATAACAAGTTAAGTGTAGCCTAATACACTATCTATGATTTGTGATTGAATAATA